ATTTGACCTTGTTAGCTTATATATTCATTCAGTTTGATACACCTTCTGCCCTGGCTTGAACCGCTGAGGTAAGTGCCTGCATATAAGCTTACTATGTAATTCGCTATGTAGCTTACTATCCAGCTCCCAATAGCTTACTATCCAGCTCCCAATAGCTTACTATCCAGCTCCCAATAGCTTACTATCCAGCTCCCAATAGCTTACTATCCAGCTCCCTATAGCTTACTATCCAGCTCTCTATGTAGTTTACTATGCAGCTTACTAAGCAGCTCACTACGCAGCTCACTATCTAACTTACTACGTAGCTCACTACGTGAACATTACATCCAATATACCACCACCACTATGGTTATACCTATCGTTATAATCACTTTTAACGATATCATCCGTTCTGATATAGCTATATCATCTTATTCAACCATATTCCCTCAAATATTCGTTCAGTTTGATTGACCTTCTGCCCTGGCTTAAACTGCTGAGGTAACTGCCTGCATATAACCTCACTATCTAACTTACTATCTAATTTACTATGCAGATTACTATGTGACCACTACATCCAGCCTATCTCCACCAATATTGCTTCGTCTGCGTATGTTATCACATCAAATGATTCCCCCTATTCAATTCTATCTCTCTCAATTTATTCAACCATGTTCTCTCAAATATTTATTCAGTTTGATCAACCTCTGCTCCGGGTAAAACTGCTGAGGTAAGTGCCTGTATATAACCATACAATCCAACTTACTATGTAGCTCACTATGTAGCTCACTATGTAGCCAACTAGATCTCTACTGAGCCCACTATATCTCCACCAATATTTCTTCATTTATCCGTATTTATATACTAATCGATAGCCTCTATTCAAATTTACCTTCTTCAACTTATTCAATCATGTTCCCTCAAAATATTACCACTCTTTGGTGCAGCCTCTGTCATGGCTGAACTGCTGACCCAAGTGCCTGCATATAACCTCATTATCTAGCTCGCCATATAATTTACTATGCAGCTTACTATACAACTCACTGTCTACCTTACTATGCAGCTTACTATGAGAACACTACACCCAGTGTATCTCCACTAATATTGCCTCGTTCACCGATATCACCGTCTCACATAATTTTCTCTACTCTGATACATCATATTCATTTTATCTGTTCTTGTTCTCTCAAATATTCGTCCAGTTTGATTGACCTTCTTCCCTTGGTTAAACTGCTGAGGTGAGTGCCTGCATATAACCTCACTATATAGCTCTCTATGCAACTCCCTATATAGTTCTCTATGCAACTCCCTATATAACTTACTATGTAGCTTACTAAGCAGCTCATTATACAGCTCATTATACAGCTCACTATCTAACTTACTATCCAGTTTACTATGTGAATATTACATCTAGTGTATCTCCACCACTATTGCTTCGTTCACCGATATCACGACCTCATCCAATTCTCTCTACTCCAATAAGTCCTATCCATTTTATCTGACCTTATTAACTCAGATATTCATTCACTTTGATACACCGATGCCCTGGCTTGAACTGCTGAGGTAAGTGCCTGCATATAACCTCACTATGTAACCTACCATGTAACTTACTATGCAGCTCACTATGCAGCTCACTATTTGACCACTTCCAGAATATCTGCACCAATATCGCTTAGTCCACTGATGTTACTACCTTACACAATGCCTTCTATTCTAATTCATTATATTCGATCTATTCCACCAACCTAACTTATATTTTCATGCACTTCATTCCACCTCAGTCCTGGTGGCACTGCTGGCGCACGTATCTGCATATACCCTCTACTGCTTTCCATGCAGCTTACTCTGTAGCCTACTCAAACACCACTGCATCTAACGGATCTCACCAGACATTTATCCGTCAAAGTTGCACACCAAGTATCTATGTGGCTTATCATGAAAGTTACTGACATTATAGGTGACCCTGGACTCTTGCAACCCACCTTGTGATAGGAATGCATGAATATCCGGTATATTTGGAAACATTCAAGGGATGAGAAACGCATAGGATGACTAAACCCCTCACTCCGACTAAGCCCCTTACTTTGACTAAGTCCCTTACACCTACTGCGCCTCTCGAAACATCTGAGCCATGGCCTCAGTGTACCCCTCATACCAACTGGAAAAATCCCCCACAGACCCCACTACCCAGATCCTATAAAGTTCGGGGTGTCTCCACCACACAGAAACAAGTCAATCCCTCACCACCTTCACTACTCTCCTCCCTCTCCAATCCACCACCATGAATCTCCACAAAACCCCCCTTTTCGGCCACACCTTTCCGTTAGAAATTTTTGAGATGATAGTTTCCTACCTACCACTTCCCACAGTCGCCGAATTGATGAAATCGAAGGATACCAATCTTGCTTTGGCGGCGCGGAGACGCTATTACTCAAATATTCAATTGAACTTCAAAAAACTGCCACACGAAGATGGCTACTCCAGTGTGACTGATGAGGTCCTCGTCATGAAGATTTCAGAATTTGAGGCGTTAGTAAATAGCGATACGTTCGACCAGCTTATCATTAAGGAGCTTAGCATTGTGGTAGAGATGGATATTGTAGATTTCACGTTCCTCCACGGAAAAGTATTCACCAAGGCATCCTCAATTGTCATCGATGTCAAATTATGGCTTGACCTGGAGCAGGGGGAGCCCGAGGAGCTCCACTGGAACTGGTTACCATCTTCGCCCCTGGTACAGGAGTGCATCCGAGAAATATCCATTAATTATGCTTATATTGATCCGGATGTACCAGCTTTGCCCTCCAACTTGCGCATGCTTTCCTTCCTATACAACTATGACAATTGGAATGAGAATGATTATGGTATTATTCCAAGGATTGTTTTTCCACCAAATCTTCAAACGGTTGATTCGAGAATCCCCTGGGTTTCAATGCCAACGTATACCGGCCTCCCTTCAACTTTGAAGATATTGATGCTAGAGAATGTCTTGGACTTTTCTGTCAAGGCCTTCAACAAGCTAAACTTTCCCGATTTGAAATATTTGCGATTAAAAAACATCTCTAACGTGACGGAGATCAACGATCATTTTAAACTTCCCTTGCTGTTGAAGATTTTGGAACTTGAGAGTCTAAACATCACTAACTTCGAGCAACAGACATTACCTCTGGGGTTGCAGGGGTTATCCATCAGCAATTGTCCTTTAAGAAAGTTTCGTGTGGATACATTTCCGGATTCCCTCAAAGAGTTGAACTTAGTCGAGACGGATATCCCATCGTCTGAGATCGGCATTATCAAATTTCCTCCCAGCTTTGTTTCTTTACTGGTTACGCACACCCGGTTAGCATCGCTAGATTTTGTCAACTCACTACCGGGGTCTTTAGAAATCCTCAACCTCCGCAGTAATTCCTTTGTTCGTTTAAATGGTGAAGCTGCGGACAGTACCAGGTCACATCAAATCAAGTTTCCTGAAAATCTCCAGAATCTTTATCTCGAAGATACTGAGCATCTATTTACTCTTTACTCGCCAGGAGACCTTGTTTTTCCTCCGAGCTTGAGGGATTTAAACCTTGGAAGCAAGAAAATGGATTCGGTTGAAGGATTAAAACCCCTTCCGCCAGCATTGAACTCTTTAAACTTGCGCTACAATAATTTAGTCTCAGTTGAAGGGCTCAGACTTCCACCGGCATTGAACCACTTAGACTTGAGTTTTAATCGTTTGGTCTCAATCAACGAACTCGATCTTCCGCCAGCATTGACCTCTTTAAACTTGGGCTTCAATAAGTTGAACTTAGTTAAAGGGCTCAATCTTCTGTCAGCATTAACCTCCTTAAACTTGAGATCCAATGGGTTGGACTCAGTTAAAGGGCTCAATCTTCCACCAGGATTGACCTCCTTAGACTTGAGCTCCAATACGTTGATCTCAGTCGAGGGACTCGATATTCCGCCGAGATTAACCCATTTATACTTGAGCGGCAATAGTCTTCAACAATTTTCAAAGACACTACCTGAAAGTATTGAAACCATTTCCCTTGGTTATAATAAATTGAAAGAATTGGTGAACTTTCACCTTCCGGTGAATTGTACCGAGCTTAATCTCTCTGGCAATCCACTTCAAAAACTCCAAATTTCCAATGCACATGACCCAGATTTGAAACTCCAAGATTTAACTTTAAATGAAGTCGCCATTACCACGCTCAGTGATATATCTCCTCTTCCGCAAAGTCTCACTTCCTTGGGTATTGTGTTTGTCGAAGTAAGCTCCTTGTCGGGGATTCTGTTTCCTACAGGGCTAACTTGGTTAGGTGTATTTGAGACCAAGTTGACTTCATTGAAAAACGTCAAGTTCCCTCCTTACTTGGAAGAACTACATCTCCTGAGAAATCAAATATCCAGCTTAGCCAATGTCCATTTTCCGAATAGTCTAACTAAGTTGGAGCTTTTTGATAACAAGATTACCACAATCGACGCCGTACGGCTTCCTCCAAAATTGAAGATATTGAACTTGGCAGGAAACGAAATTAGCGCTATTAATGAGTTGCAATTGCCCGAACTCCTCGAAAAGTTAAGTTTGGCGGACCAAAAGTGTGATACTCCGCATAATCCTGTTTCCACTCGCAAATCTTTCAAATTGGGCAAGTTTAACTTCTTAAAGGCCTCGTCAAAGAGTTCCAAGGCACCTGGGAAAAAGGGCTTATCGAGCCTCACCGGGTTAACTAAACTTCCCTCAAAATTGGAGTATTTAGGTCTAAATGGAAACAACTTGTCTGAGAAGGCCGTCCAACACTTGGAGTTCCCAGCAAGTTTGTCACAATTACTCATCTATGATAACGCATTTGACAATTATGATCGATGGGAAAGAAAAATCAAGTTGACACACCCGGGGATGCTGTTCAAGTTGTGAATTGGAGTTTTATAACTTTTTTTCGGTACTGAGAATGATGTAATGGGTAGCGATAGTGAGGATTTGGTGTAGGGAGATGAATTCATGGAACGAGACGCTTAACAAGAAGTCATTTATAGCAATATATGTATTTATATTGAACTTCTTTTTTTCTAAGTGTGCCTGCTTTACAGTCTAATACGGTAAACAGTGCTGATTAATTGACCTCTTGAAACCGAAGTCAACATGAGACTATACCATAATCCTATACTCCATTACGTCAAAGTATTGGCTGAGATAGCACCGCTTTTCGCAAGGTTAGCTCTGTCTCCTCTCTTTACTCGTGCATATGGCATATTGCTCAACCCATTATTCTGTATACTCCTTGTTTTCTGTGATATCTCATCCACCTTAGGTATCTCCTTCAATTTCCATGACAACAGGTGATAGTATCCTCCCATAACCTCACCCATATCTTCGTTGCTCTGGTCATACCCTCTCGGTACACCCCTGTTTCTCCTTGATCTGTTAATTACTGCGGTCTAAGATTCAACTTTACAGAAACCATATTCACACAGCCTTGCAACAGCACAAGCATGATCGTTCGAAGTACTAGATCCTTTGAGTCCAGTGGCCAGGCCGCTTAAATATCTCACCCTGTTTCTACTTTAGCGTATCCTGCACATATTGTATGACAACATATTACATGACACTTTAGACATGAGGTCCTACATGTGACATGCAATACTTTGTGCGTATATACGTACCGTATTAGAACGGCAATTGTTTAGTTTACCTTTTTGACGCATCTCTATCTCCATAGTACAACCATCCCTGTACTAGAAGTTCAATTTATTAATAATTTAGTTAGTGCATCACGTGAATGACCAATTATCTAAATGATGCCAGGTCTACTTGAATACAAAAATCTTAGTATCGATGCATGAACGTGATAAAAAATGTCTGTGAGGTTAAATGACTTCTTCAAAACACTTGGCATGCATAATTGGAAGTGAAATATTTGATTTCTGCAGTATAAACCCCTATAACAGTAGCTTTTAGATCAAGAAAAAATACTACAGACTGAGCAATATGTGGTAGACACGAATATAAAGCGTTTTCCCCACATTAGCTTGGACATGTTAAGTAACCAAACCGCACTACACACTTATGTTATAGGGATAGACCCCGGGTCGGAATGGAATTTTCTCCGCCGAGAAAGATCAAGTTTTTCCTCTCTTTGGCTACCAATTATAGGTGAGTGCATTTTTGTGGAGATCGACGGGAAAATCGATCTATAAAGAGCTCATCGCATGTACATGCAGGTCTCCCGAGACTAAATTGTATGGTGGAAACCAACGACCAAGACGGGTGGGTTACAAAACATAATTATAGAAGAGAAACATCCATTTCTACGCCAAGATTTTGTCAAGTAGTGGGGTGATAAACGGCATGCAGTTTCTTCATTATCAAAACGCCGTACTGCAGATATTGTCTAATGGCATACGAGACGCACCCTTTTCAAAGAGGGATTTTCACGCCTCAGCTTGCATACCAACTCCCAGCTCTGCAGGAAATACACTCGTAAGAAACACATATCACAGGAGTGGAACACTTTACTGGAAAGTAAAAAGTAACTTAGAGAATTTATCCTGGGCAAAGATCAGTTTGATAGGTGAGAAAGCCAGGCACTGGTGTTCCGTACTCACATCGCCTGTGATGCAGGTAAAGAGCTAAATTATTTCCGTGTGCGGAAGGTATTTCAGATGCTGACCCCTATCATGCTAAACAGGTTCAGGGGATTTACTTTACAAATCATGCGTCGTGGATGTTCTTCGGACTACATGAACCTTTGCCTTAATTCGGGGTGGCATGGTATGCATTTTATGGCAGTTACTTCAGTATTGTGCGTCGCCAATATTATTTGGCTTGCATAGATCCGTCCCCTTATTCGAAGTGTCGTAATTTAATTATTTTTATGGTATAAAAGAACCCCTTCGCCCACTTTTAGGTAATATATCATGCTAACAATTAACAAATTCACTCTTTCATCATGTACCTGTTTAACTCTAGCTATCCCGGTACTGGCGTTGAAATTTCATCCAGTCAATGCACAATGACTAAATTACCAGGTTGTCAAAAACCTGACGTAATGAATTCTGGTACCAATGTTCTGTGGCTGCCTATGAAACTCTTGGTATCTTTCTTGTTTGCAGTAGCAGGAGTTTTAGGTGGGATTGTTCCAAGCTTTGTTGATTCCAATGAACCGGTTTATCTCAACGCGACAGCATACAGTGGCACTGATGTAGTCATAGTTGAAACAGTCGATGCTGTACTTGAAACAGCGTTCGCAAAATTTGAGAAGGGTGTTGATATTACTGACAATGTATTCATAGTCGAAAGCTTGGGTTATCAGTTGTCGAATATTTCTTTCCCAGCTAATGCTACAGTTAAGAGGTGGAATGCAAACAATGTACCACTTGGTACACACTTCACTCAAAGATAAGTAGCCCAACAAGGAAAATGGTGGTCGGCGTGGTATCCAGCAAGTTGCCCAATATACAATGGGCTTGGTGATAATGACATTAAGAGAACTGTGAGCTGGAGCATGTCGTATGGCTGGTCAGCCAGCGCGGGCTTTGACTTCGGTTTCGGAAGCGGGTCTTCATTGAGTATGGGTGTCACAATTACTAAGAGTAATACTCAGGGTGGTCTGGAAGAGTACGTTATCCCTGCACATGGTGTCGGCCAGGTATGGCAGCATCAGTTAATGGTGTGGCAAGACCAGCAAACTCAAGACTGTGTCAAGAAGCACTACGGATCGGGTGGTCTTAAATGTGGTCCGTGGAGTGGATATATCCATGCAGACATTCCGGTTGATGGAGGCTCAGTACATTCGTGGAGTTCGGGGTATAACAATGTCGACACAAGCAGATGTGGCTGAAACACGTTATTAAGACCGATATCACAAGTAGCTGTATCCACTGATACACTCTGTTAGTGTATGGTGTAAGTCGGCTTGCTTATGGATAAGTGCACATGAGGTCAATATTTGAAATCCTTTGTGTGGTACATTTTTTGGAATATAGACATTCTTCAAACTTTTTTTCTTTACCGTTATACTTATTATCAAAATTTGCAAAATATTAAATTTACTATGGAGGTCATACCTGTACCTCAGTTCAGTCAAATAGTAAACCAGGCGGTCTTCCACAATCACAGCCAAACTGGACATACAGAAAAGTCATTTCTGTCTGGTACCCAATCCCTGTTACTCCTCTTTATTGTACTAATATCAATGGTTATCGTATTAGGACGTCCAACTTGTATCACCGGGGTAAACGTGTTAAGGATGATTTTATGCATATGTGTCGTTGGGATACTTCGGCTCACTTAGATACTTTTCTTCATTCTGACTGGCGTAATAAAGCTACCCCTATGGAATACAAGGACCTCTCCTCCTTCTTTATGATTATATATCTTGTGCGTAAAGTAACCAAAAAGTTTTCTAGACAGTTATTGCTATTTACTTGTATTCACACCTCCCTGGTTAAATGGCACATTTGATACATTGACCTACATTTTTTAAATATTTATATATCCCTACAGTTTGATCCACCCTATGCTCTGCGTAAAACTACTGAGGCAGCTGCCTGCATATGGCCTCTCTATGTATCTTATCATGTAGCTCCGTATATAGCTTACTATGCAGCTCTATGTGGCTCACTAAGCAGCTCACTATGCAGCCCACTATGCAGCTCACTATCTAACTTACTATGCAGTTTACTATGTATATTATACTTAGTGTACCTCCACCAATATTGCTTCGTTCATCCATATCACTACTTCACTTAATTATCCCTAATTTATTAAACTTGTCATATTTAATATATATTGACAAATAATTGCCATCATGACATTTGTGGTATATCTAGTACGTAATTGTTGATGCTGTTAGCTAGCTAAAAGAAAGTACTTCTCATCGGTAAGGTATACACAAAGAGAGGCGGAGTCGAAGTTATATACTGAGGGCCGGAAACAGTATCATTATTAATAGACGACAGTAGATTGTAGGATCTTTTTGAGGAAGGTATGATACAGAAAAGTCCGATGATCGGTAGTTGTATAGATTATAATCCGATTGGGGGTAGGATATCGGCCGATAGCATCTGATTAGTTACATGGCACCTTTACTACAGTAATAGCAAAGCATTTAGCCACTCGGATGCTTTCCCAGTAACTGGTATGTGTGTTTCCGGAGGTATGCTGACTATAATCTTCACAGCCATTTCTAGCTTCCTGGGATCGTACAAAAATTTCCATCACCTACCCTTCTAGACGAACCTTGTTTTATCCATAACAAATAGCGCTTGTCTACCAAATACTTTTCCACGATGATAATAGAGTGTCTTGTCGAATATTACAAGTGCACACAAAAAACCTTCTGGTTAAATTCCATTTGTAGCTCTTCTGTGTCTAGTCCAAATACTAACAATTCAAGCACCCCGACGGTCCTTAAAGTGTGACTATCCGAACCCAAATAATAGACTATATAACGCTTTAGGTAACCAACAGATTCTATCGCTTCAGTGAGAATGTGTCCAGATTCCAAGGATCTAGGGTTGTATTTATCACTCCGATGCCATCTACAGAGAGGTAACAAAACATTGTATATTTACAGGAAGTTGGCTCGATGAAACAAGGACGTTGAGCTTAGTTTTCGATTTTGGCCAAGATGTCTCTGTCTCTGAACAAAGTGTACTCTTCCCCACCGACCTTGATGACCTCACCGCCGAAGGCTGGAATCAAGACAGAGTCACCGGCCTTGACACCAACTGGGGTAACAACACCAGACTCGGTTGGGTAGCCTGGACCGGTGGCAATAACGGTAGCCTCGTTCAACTTCTGCTGGTTAGCGTCCGGGATGTATAAACCGGATGCGGTCTGAGTCTTTTGCTTCAAACGCTGGACGAGGACACGATCGAGGGTTGGCTTCAAGGCGCCGATAGATTTGATGATGGAGGAGGAAGACTGCAGGGTTAGTATTAGTTCGACAAAGAGGATAGACAGGCACATACCATTGTGTTTGGTTGGTTGGTAGTTACTACTTATAGATGGATGGACCTTCTGTGATTCATTTATGGTGTTTCCCCAGGTCACCCTCCATGCCGGCTCGATTCCGTCGAATTTTCCACAGGCTTCGGACGAGCGGGTAACACCAGTCCCGTCTGCTCTTGGGCGGGCAGCTCCCATACACACAATAGACACCTACAAATACTACTTATATAATTAATGAGATATACTATCCTTTTAATCAGGAATATTTTGGTAACCATACAGCCGGGCTTATGCTTCCCTAACTTTTCAAAGCTGGAAATGGCGGTAATGAGGCGCAGGTCCTGTGAAAGGGTAGGCTAGTGCGGTCAAGCCCGTAAACCGAACATTACAGTTTAAACTAGTATAGGAGAATCACCTGTAACATAAATAGATACAATTAACGGGAATCATGGTCATGAATAGTTCAACGAGTAAAGAATAAGTGCATGGAAAACAATTTTGATAGAGAAAAAAATGAACCAATATTACATACTGGAAATTGGTAGGTGACAAAAAGAAAAAAAAGGCACAGAAGAGAAAGTGCAGGGTACGGGAAAGGCACACCATAAAAGGCAGAGCCAAAGAAACCGGAATTTCGATCAGATTTCAAGTTCACTCACTAATCTCTGACCTTTGAGAAGACCAACATAACTCTGCTCGGCAAATAAATTTGAACAAAATTCGCACGTCCATTCCACTCCATATCTGTGGTAAAGTACTCCGTTTCCGCCGAAACACGCGCATGGCCGCCAAACTCTTCCGCGTCACTATTCAACACGACCTGGTACACACCCGGCACGTTAACACCGATCCTGTAATCCACAAAGCTCTCGGTCGGGTGGAAGTTGAGCACAAACAACAAGCCATTGCGCTCGAACGCAATCACCTTATCGTTCTCGTTCTTTAACGAAACATACGTGGAGTCAGAGCCCAAGTAATCATACTTTGTGTCGAGGTGCTGGAGCGCAGCGTCAAAGCGCCACAAGAACTTGTAGCGCAAGAGATCGTCACGCACGAGATTGAATTGGCGGCGTGCGTAGTGGTACGAGTCGCCGTTGCCCACACGCGGAAAGTCGAGCCACTCTGGGTGGCCAAACTCGTTGCCCTCAAAGTTGAGGTAGCCCTCGCCACCGAGCCCGTGCGTGATGCCGCGGATCATCTTGTGGAGTGCCATCCCACGGTCCACTACCGGCGTTAATTCGCTGAGTACCGACATATGCGTGTACATCTGTGCGTCCATCAACCAGAACGCGAGAGTCTTGTCGCCCACGAGTGCCTGGTCATGCAGCTCTGCATACGCAATGACAGGCTCGCGCCAGCGGCGGTTGGTAAGCGTGTGTACAATCGCGCCCATGTCCCAGTCCTGGTCCTGGGTGGTTTTGAGAAGCTTGATCCACATGTCAGGGAGCGCCATTGCGAGGCGGAAATCAAAGCCAACACCGCCAATGTTGCGCGCGAGACAGAGTGTCGGCATGCCGGAAACGTCCTCCGCAATTGTGAGGTACTGCGAGTCATCGCGCGCGCCAAGCTCACGCACAAGCTGGTTCGCGAGCATAAGGTACACCACTGCGTCCTCATCCACATCCGGGTTGAAGTACTCATGGTAGCCACCCGAAAAGCCTCCCTTCTCTCCCGCCCCGTGGTGATGGTAAAGCATCAGGGTCACCCCATCAAAACGGAACCCGTCGAAGCGGAACTCGTCGATGTAGTAGCGGAGGTTCGACAAGAGGAAGCGGAGCACCTCGTAGCTGCCGTAGTTGAAGATCTTGGAGTCCCAGAGCGGATGGTCGCCCTTCGCGCCGTCGTGGAAGTATTGGTGGTCGGAGCCGTCAAAGCGATTGAGCCCGTCCGCAACGTTCTTGGACGCGTGTGAGTGAACCACGTCGAGGAGAACGCGGATCCCCAAGCCGTGTGCGGTGTCCACGAGGCGCTTGAGCTGCTCGGGCGTACCGTAGCGCGAAGACACGGCAAAGAAGTTGGTTACCTGGTAGCCAAACGACGCGTAGTACGCATGTTCCATTACCGCCATTAACTGGATGGTATTGTAGCCGAGCTTGTGGATGAGTGGAAGAATGTTGTCGGTAAACTCGTCGTACAGCGCGACCTTTGGGTCAGGCGACGAGATCCCGACATGGGCCTCGTAGATCTTGGGAGCGGACGCGATGTGCGGGCGCTCGTGGCGGAACGTGTAGCGCGCGGCGGGTTCGGGGTTCCAAAAGCGCGCCTCATAGACGAGATCAGTCGTGCGCGTCGCGTCCGGCTGCGTTGCACGAGAGATCCATGCAGGAAGGCGGTCCACGGTGGAGCCGTCCGGTAACGTGAGCCGTACCTTTACGCGCGAATCGTGAGCGATGGCAAAGTCGCCCGCGACAGGCGCTATGCGCACGTTGAAGCATCCGTATGCGTCCTTTTGCATCAGGTGGCGCGTACCGTCCCAGTCGTTGAAGTCACCGACAAGCGCCGCTGCGGTTGCATTTGGCGCCCACTCCTTGTAGGAGATGGTCTTGGTTGCATCATCCGCATGGAGTCCGTACGTCGTGTAGGAGTTGGCAACGTTGAGAATTCCGCCTTCGGTGGAGGTGAAGGTTTCGAGCCAGGCGTTGGCCTTGGTTGTGCGCGAGAGGAGATCTGCCGCGTACGGGGTGAGGTACGGGTCGATGTCGAGGGCGCCTTGAACAAGAGGAGAACCGGACATGGCTAAGGAAGATGAGTGAGAAATGAAAACGATTAGCGATTCTTACTGTTGGTAGGAGCTAGAGCTGGATGTAATGAGCTGGTACACTGGCTGTGGATTGAGATCTGGCGTTTCGAGAGGGATTACGGTCTGAGCTGCTGAAGGTAGCGGAGGAGTGTTAGCAATTATGGCTGATAGCTATAGAAGTGATAGCGATAGAATTGTTATGAACAATATGATATCTTAAATAGCCAGGGAATCTTTGCGATGGAGGCCGAGAATTCCCCAAGCTTTTCCGAAAAAAAAGGGGGTGGGCGGGGTCGTGCGGTTAGGAACTCCGAGTCGTGCGGCATGCTGCATGGAAAGTCCCTGTTGGGTGGGACGAGGGGAAGCGCGGAGTGTCAGCCCACGCACTAACAGGACTAGACGAGCCCCATTAAGCGTGAATGGAGTAATTGTTTCCAGAGTTTTGAGACTTTTTGACCTCTCTAGTTTTCAGTTTTGTTTACGGAGAGCATGAAGTGGGGTTGTTCGGGTGAGTCTTGTAAAGCAGTGACGTAGCATGCGCGTACTTAAACAAGTGTTGGGTTCAACGTCACGGCGTGTATGACGGAATTATCGTTTTACATTCACACGTCCCAAGGATTCTCCTTAGTTTAATGCGAATCATTTCAAATGACTCTACGACACTACGGGATCATGGTAGATTCTTGTCTGCGTTTCAACAATGGGGTATATACTAGGTGCAGCCAGGAAGCAATACTTATAGACATCTGACGTGATGCCTCGGGGATGGTTCAATGATCAGAGTTCATCTTGGGTACATGGATTACTATCACCTTTCCCTTAATATTATTTTTGATTAATAATGAGTCTGATGAAAGGTCATATATCAGAGACTTCAGCTCTCTGACAAATCTCAATCAAATAAGCATCACTCGTAAGCAGCGGACCCTGTGCCTCAGTCACTGTATACCGCATTCACCAAGCTCAAATATTTGAAAATACTGGCTTATATCTGCATAAATAGAGCAGGGAATTAACGAAAAAAAAATTGCTAAAGATTATGCGCAATTTATAACTTCTCCACTGGAAATATTAAACACTACCAACGAGAATTAATACTAAACGGAAAGCTAGAGTTGAAGCTGTACGAAGGATTTTAGTCTCTAATAGCTACAACACAAAAGACGTAAAATTCAAATACTTTTTTTAGAGGGAAATAGACAGGGTAAACACAGGTGAAACAAACTAGGATAGCAACTAACCATGCACACGACTAACAGTCTCTTAATCGGAAAAGTAGATGTACTATGCAAATTCCGGTAGAACCAGGGCTCCACTTTAGTAGTACTCTCTATAGTTCTCCGAGCACTGGTATACATTTACGTTGCTATCCTGGTGGTAGTTTGTTGCAAGCATCATCCTATGTGGGTGGAACGCAATGCTCGACAAGTAGCTAGAGGTCCTGTTGCTCAAATAGCTATATGGATTCTTGAGGTTCGCCAACATGTCCCCCGACGTCGTCCAGATCGCTAACGATTTCGATGCCGTCGCCACAATTGGTGCGTGCTCGTGCACCTCGACGCACCTCATGGTCTTCCCAGGGTAGGCCTCCCAGGACGTCACAGGCTCATCGGCACGGATATCCCAGAGGCTGACAGAGCCATCAGAAGTCCCGCTGACCAACTCTCTGTAACCACCTCTTTGCATGTGGACATTTCTTACAAAGCCCCTGGTGTTTTGCGGTTTCCATAACTTCACCATCGAGTCACGAGAGTCTAAACGGCGGTCATACACCCTCAAACTCCCGTCCGTGAATCCGGCAACAAAGACGTTACCCGCCACCTGGTCAGAGGTCAAAGAGGAAATAGACGAGGGAGACCTGGCGGGAATATCCACCACACAGAGTTCCCTAGGGGCGTCCCAGATACGGATTATCTTCACATCGCCACTCACGAGCAAAGACCCACGCGACTGCTGCCACTCGGATATCAATCCCGTCGTCTTGGAGGTGAGGAGAATGTCTGTGAGGGCTCTCCAGGCAGAAACTAGCTCAACCTTCTCCGATTCGTAAAAGTCTCGATAGATCTTTACTACACCGTCAGATGAACCCGTCATGAGCAACGGCGAGTCATCCTCGTTGATGAACTTCATATCAGTGATCTTGGTTCCAAAGGGGTTACCATTGGAGAACCGGCTCACCACGGTCTGCTCTTCCCAGTCCCACACGGTGATGTTGTCTTTTACGTCACTCGACACCAAGTAGCTTTCAAACTGCATGAATTTCATGAGCCCGGGCTGCGTCTTGTTTTCCAAAAACCCACTGGGTTTCCAGTTTCCGCGAATTGCAAGCTGTTTCTGTGGTTGGGTTTCCTGGATGATTGCTTCGTTGCGGTTACGACGCCACAACCGTTTAATGTACTCATCGGAGCCCGGTTCATCCAGCTCCGAGGCACGCATCTGCGGTTCTTGGAAGTACTCACAGGAATACTTGAAGAAGTTGGAGGTGAAAAGGAGGGAAGGCTCGCGGTTCAACACACGGGGGGTGTATCTTGGTGTCTTGGGCTGGTATTCGGAACCGTAATGGGCCGGGACCGAAGAGTTGAGAATCTTGTTAAACTTGAGCTTTTCTGTCGTTTCACCGTTAAGCTGGAAGGTCTGTAGCATTCGCGGAAGTAAGTTGAATAGCTTTCCAGTGATGGAGTTGTCCGCCGTGTCACCCAAGTTGGGGTTACTCTGGGACGAACTGAGCCTGTGATCTGGTCTGTGTACAACAATGTTGATATTTCGGGCGCCATTCAAGGCGCTGACGCTTTTGGTTCCACCGTTGAGACTCAACTGCGTTCTCTGGTCCAACACGGCTGGTTTCGACGACCTCTCGAGCAAGTAGCCCGCCATTTCGCGAACCACAGCACCCAAGTCGGCATTGCTCTTCAAGCTGAAAATCACGTAGTCAATCACTTCCTCAGCCATGCCCTTGACCTCGCTGTGTGGATCCTGTGAGAGGATGAGGAGGATCTTCCACACCGAACTGAAGACGGTCCCGTAGGTGGGAGACTTTTTCCTGACCTCTGGAAGCATGGTTGAGTTATCAAGGAGCACAATCTCTTCTTCGAGCTGGCTGAAGGCGGTGATGAGGAAGAAGTTGAGGTAGGCGGCGACAAATTTGGAAAAGAATATGAGGATCTCCTTTCTCACCATGGACGAGCCATCTCCAACAAGCCCAAGAGTGGAGATTGCGAGCTTCACGTACTGGTTTTGGATCTCCGGTTTGGTTTCATCGACCGCAATGAAATTTGTGAGGGCCATGACAATAGATGTCCTCACCTCCGGGATAGGGTCATTGAGGGATTTCACCAAGCGGGCAAGCAATCCCTCCTTCACCACGATCCATTTGCCCTCGGGGTAGTCGATCCACAACTGGGATAAGAGTAACAGACACCACTGACGTAATAGCGGATTCTCGCTATGCTCAACCATGAGGAGCAAATTGTGGATAAGTTCGACAGAGAAGATCAAACGTTGTCCGTTTTTGAAATCCTTGATGAACAACGTCAAGATAAAGGCACTCATTGCCTTGTGGTTGTCGTTAATCAACACCTGGTTGGTGTTAAGAATGAGGTAGAAGTAGTTGTAGCCCTTGTCGCGGCATAACTCCTGTTGGGTGTTAACGTGGTCAATGGACATGATGCGGGCCCAGATAAAGACGAGCAGCGGCTTGAGCTCCTGGGCCGGCGACTGGAGGAGCTTGAGAACGTAGGGAGAGATACCGATGGAGAGGGAGAGGTAGACCGCCCAGGGACCAAGGTCTAGGAAACTGGAGAGGAGAATGAGGGCTCGCAAGCGATGGACCTGCGAGAGGAGGACTTGGAGGACCGTTGGGAGCTGTTCCGGAGGGGTACGGGAGGCAGAACCGTACTTGAGCCACATTTCGAACGCCGTGAGGTGCTGTTCGAAAAAGGTGGAGTGCTGGTAGTTGGAAATCTCCGCAGGGATCGCCTTCGCGGCTTCACCGACCGTTCCATTCGCATTGCCGTTGGCGGTATTGCCATTGACCACTAGCACAGCAGTGCCTACACTCTCGGCAACCGGCGCTGGGTTCTTCAACAACTGTGAAAGCACCTGATCAATCGCAAGGTCCCACGACTCCCACATGTGGTGGTTCTTGACCGCTTCCGGTAACGGCGGATCGCTGATCGGGTTACAGTTGTGGAACGGCATGATGCGCTTGGCGAGGAGAAAGTTGCGGAACAATGCCGCAACCATCAAGTCCTGTCTGAACAACTTCTTAAAGAGCGGCCGTGACAACAAGGACCACGCGATGGTGTCTGTTATGGCGGTGAAAATCCAGTTCAACTCGCCTAGCGGTGTCCGTCGGTCGGTGAGCTTACCCGGGATGACAATGTTGCCGTTCAGCGATGTGAGGAGCTGCGCGTAGTGGTTATTCGACAACGGCGACTGCATGATGAACCACTTGATGGAAACCTCTATCGGACACGTGAGGCAGCACGAAAAGAGGTCAGCAGGAAGGTCAGGGTTCATGGGGAGAATCTCGTTTGACCGGCAGGCCGCGAGCTGAATGCAATCGATGTAGGCAGAGGTGGGCGATGGCGCCGAGACGTCGTGGTTGCCCTCGTTGTCATCGTCAATGCGCTTTTGCACAAACTTTTTGAAGTTTGACACGATGTTTCCGGCACTGTTGCAGTCGTAGACAAAGATGCACGGTGCCCCCAACCAGGTCTGCAAATCATAGAGTGAGATGGGAATGTACTGGGTGTAGCCTCGATTGAAAACCCAAATTTCGCCGCTGGTGGTGGGCTGGGGTACCCCGTGGCCGTTGTAATGGAACAAAATGCGTTCCTCTTTGGCGTTACGCCTGAGGGTGTTGCAGAAGCGCTTCATGTCCTCCACGCACGGATCAAGCGACTGTTTGTACCGCGTTCTCAATGAAAGCGTCTCGTACTGTGACTGGAGGTTCTTACCGATGGTCTCAATAGCCTTTTTTGTGTCACTGAAATCAGCAGGGTCCACCCAGGACTCGAGTTTGGCACAGGGATGCGTCTTCATCACGTCTGGTGGGTCTACACCGAGATTGAGGCACAACACGAGCGCGGCCGAAACCGTCTTTTGGCGTTCCTTCATCACCTTCCAATCAGGAATCGGCTGGTAGTTCTTTATGTTGGTAAGCACTTCCTCTTCTGTTACAGGATTCCCGTTGGTATGATGCCGCTTGTCGTCAAAGTAGATGTAGAACGTGCTAGCGAGAAGGCTCATGAAAGTTTCTGAGTTGTAGTCCTCGTCTAGGCCATGGCGGACGTGCGAATTAAGCGGTTTGTAGACATGCTCCGGGGGATTATTCATGACTGGCACTCTAATGGGAGGGAGGGAAAGGCAAGTAAATACGGGGGGATGAAGCGGCAATTTGAAGCAGTTTTGATAGCTGCTTATCTTAGCCGCCGTGTCGATAAAAGAATGACGGAGCGGTAAGGGAACGACCGAGGGGAAGCACGCTGCAGGATTTTTCACCTGGAACAATGTAGGAGAAGACTGAGCATAGAAGTTTTGGGAATTTAAAATCTCTTTCTAGCGAATACTCAGATAAAAGCCATCAGAATGGATCTCACGATAAAGATTACTTTGGCAATTGTTCTAGTATGACGGGTTAGTGGCAGGTGCACCGGAGGTTCGAGCTGGTCACGCCATCGTGCTCTGGTAGGGTTTCCATGTGGGTAGGGAAGCTTTGACGGAGTTATGCTCCATCCTGTTAACTTGTTTAGCAGAGAAATAAGACAGGAAATTTTACAATGAATGAACTTTGATATCTACACCATCTATATCTGAAATCTTAAGCTTAAATGGGCTTACTGTTTTATCTTGACCAACAACCTCCGAAGTTGAGATTCTCGGGGCACAAGTGCCTGCTTCCACGTGGACGCACGAAAATGCGTCATAATACATTACTGCATTGGACATGTTGGAGTGCTCCTCCATGTATGTATCTCAACGACAAGACGGAGGAAGAACATGATACCATCCATTTTTTTAACTCCACGATTATCCTTAAATTGTTTTTCCTGATTCGTAGTACGGATTTCGTGGCCAAGTTGGCTAAGGCGTGTGACTGTTAATCACAAGATCGTGAGTTCGACCCTCACCGAGATCGTATTTGTTTTTGGTTTACTCGATCAAGAGTGATTGTTCTTTTTTTGGGTGAGAGACTCTTTTATGGTTACAGAAGAATTTTGATCTTACGGGAGATATACAGAGATTTGGCGCGGCCAAATGCAAGACGGTTAGGCCGCCGAGACCCTTGCAGCACTCCCCATAGCTTCTGATCGACACTGAACCAAAAGTATTGGCCAGAGCACACGGATTTGACTCTTTAAACTTTAATACCGGAATTTGAGGCTTGATATATTAAATAGTGGTGGATATATTATTCATTGAAAGGGTAAGAAACCAGGCATAGGTACAGTCTAGGCGGAATGTGGAGTACATCATTGCTCTCATCTGAAACTACCAGTGTATGGACTAATACTAACCAATTACTAAAATTCTGGTTTATATCACGGTATTGATTTGTGCATAATGATTTATAAGCTCGTGATGTATGGCCATGACCAAGGGTATCCCCAGGACTCTCTTCCGCTTTTTTAACTGCTTATTTCCCTAACTTATTCATACAAATCAGTACACAGAATACTAAGCCCAGTAAAACCGATATACTCACCTCATTGTGTTACAATCCGTATCTATTTGGACTAACCGAAATCTTTTTCAAGTGCTGTATTTCATAGCTGAGCCTATTTACGATTGTGATATTTTATATTTATGGCTTTCCGGATTAAAAGCACGTCATTCGAGTCTTATCGTCAAGCATATCTCCTCCTAATAGATAAGGTATAATAGTAGAGTGTGTAGGTTGGGTGCAGATGATTGCATTTCTAGCCTGCTTCGCGTGCTGTGGCTTGCAGGTACTCCGCAGAAGATTAGCGTTACACACCTCCGCAGAACCAACCAAGTTTCTCAGCTGCTTCGTACATGCTTACTAATTATCGATAAATCTCGGTGTTTTTGGTTTAAATTTTTTTTAATTCACTCAATCTTCAGTATTGGTCCTTACCCCCGGGGCCCCATGAGGTTGGTATCCGAATATCAGAGTATATAAATGGTGCGTCTGTGCACTTCAAGAGCAAATCACCCAGCAATACAAACACACTCAAAATGTCCCCACCAACTGCTACCACCACCGATGAAATAATCCATTCCTTGAAGGCTACCAACCTCAATAATATCGCCGATGAGGGCAAAGAAATCCTCGTCGATTTGACGAAGGGAAAGCCAGCAGGTGGTTATTCTCCCTTTGCTCACCTCCTTCCAGCTCCAACCCTCGCTCGTTACAAGAAGTACGGTATTGATACTAGCAAGGGTTACCCTGAAGCCCCACCTCAAAGTGAAATCCCAACCTTTGTCGACGAAGCCTATGCGGTCAGAAGCGAAGGATTCCTGTACGTCGAGCGTGGGAAGAATGCCGACCCCGAGAAGAAGGCATTGTTTGGAGCAGCCACCGAGGTTCGTCACTTGACCAAGCACATCGGGACCGAGATTGTCGGATTGCAGTTACAAGCCTTGACGGACCAACAGAGAGATGAATTGGCCCTCTTGATCGCCGAAAGAGTGGTGGTCTTCTTCCGCGATCAGGACTTGTCTCCTCAGAAGCAATTGGAGTTAGGCGAGTACTACGGCCAGGTGGAGAAGCATCCACAGGCTGTGCACGTTCCAGGTCTTCCAGGTATCACCATTATTTGGCCAGAGTATTACTACCAAACCGGTGTTAAGAATTCCTTTAAGCGTATCGGATACACGGGTGTTTGGCACACTGACTTGGTCCATGAACACCAACCAGCGGGGATTACCCATCTTCATAACGACACCATCCCCGAGGTTGGTGGTGACACGGTTTGGTCCTCTGGCTATGCGGCGTACGATAAGTTGTCACCTGCATTGCAGAAGTTTTTGGACGGCAAGAAGGCTGTTTATGTTTCGGCTCACAGTTACTTTGACAGGAATGATCCATTGAACGGGAAAAAGCGTGTCGAAAGAGAGCACCCTATTGTCAGAACCCACCCAGTCACCGGGTGGAAGTCTCTCTATCTCAACCGTGCCATGACCGACAGAATTGTTGGGTTGGAGCCGGGCGAGTCGAAGGTGCTTTTGGAGTACTTGTTTGGAGTGTTTGAAAAGAACTTGGATATTCAAGTACGTTTTAACTGGAAGCCAACAAAGAAGGGGTTAGGAACATCTGCCTTGTGGGACAACAGAGTTTCGCAGCATAATGCCATCTGGGATTATGAAAACACCGAACCGCGTCACGGAACCCGAGTAACATCGTTAGCTGACCTTCCTCACTTTGACCCGGAGTCCAAGTCGCAGCGCCAAAGCTTGGGATTGTCTCTTGATTAACCTGAGACATTGAAGTTACTGGCTTGGTCGATAAATATCTAACCCAGTTTTGGGGGACTCAAATTCAAATCACATGGATTGGTTTTTTACAGTGCACGGTTCGGTCACTGTTGATCAATGAGATAAGGGTATGTATGAATAAATATCCTTTGCTTAAAGTGCCTTGTTTTAATAGACTAGCTGTATTAAAAATAATATTTACTACGCAATATATGATATTCGAAAAAATGACATCTCGGTACCCTTCCATCAAGGCGATCCTATCTCTAGCCTGGCTAAGCTTTACTTACCCCAAGAGCTACCACACATTAGCTTGGCGATTGTGCTAAATTCGCCAAATTTATCAGGTATCAAGCCTCTCTCTACAATTTTTTTTTTAATAGAGAGAAGCATGATTCATCAGTTTAAACCCTTAGCCATGAATATTAATCGCCCGGCTCTAAACTTCAAAATACCCTAACATGTATCTGTAAATACTAATCCTGTAGTCCGGATGAGGGCCACCCCGCATGCATATTAGTTGACTGGATACCATAAGCTTTAGAACCACTACTCAGACCTAGGAAACGCTGCATCTTTAAAATAAAACATATATCCCCATCTGTCAATAATCCCATAATACTACCGGTTAACCCTTTTTTGACTTGCTCTTAGACAAATCGTGTTACCTCATTGGCCGCACTCTGACAAACACATCCTGCACCACTCATTGTTTAGCTTACATAATCGGCTATCTCGGCCAATTAGGCACAGAAAAGACTCTAACACCAGCTATATACACTCCGAAACAGCTATCCATACACCCCTTCACCCACACCATGTCAGTTTTTGTTAGATCTACCAGATTCGGGATCCCAATGGTAGCCGCTGCCGTTCTCATGAGCGCTCCGGCCATGAACGAGCCCAGACGTCGTTTCTATGAGGATGAGGAACATGTCACGCCGATTCCAGGCACCATAACCGCTCCTTCCGGTACTGAGTTGGAGATTTTGGGTCAAAACACCTTGATAGACGGAATCTCAGTGCGCTCCCCATCCTTCTTGCAAAGCTCGTTCAGAGCCGTCAGATTGCGCCTCAACAGCTTCTTCGAGTCCGTCGAGAGCCTGACCCACGAGGTTGGCACCCAGTACTACAACACAGAGAGAAAGGTCACGTCGACCTTTTCCGAGTTGCGCAGCAGAGATGAGGATTTGCTACCAAACTCGCTCTATGTGGTCACCGCATTCTTGTCTGGTGGGATTGTGGCCAGAAGGAGAGGGATTGTTGCCAGAGCTGTAGCTCCGGTGGTGTTGGGTCTTGCTGCGTTCAAATACTTTTTGCCACAGACTTTCAGCAACACTGCTCGCTTCATCTGGAGCTGGGAGAAGCAGCAGGTGCCAGAACTCGCCGCGAAGCAGGAGGAGGCTGTCAAAACCTTGGAAGGTTTCTCTGAGTCCGTGGAAAAGTCCACTGGACTGGCATTGTCTGCCGTTGAAGGCCAGGTCCAAGGTTTCAGAAAGTCCATTGCTAATGTCACTGGTTTGAACTTAGACGAGGAAGTTTCCAAGAAAAACTAGGGCAGTGGGTCCCATGTGTATATTGAACCAAGCCTGGATGATAGCGCAGGCTGTAGGGGTATGGGTCTGTGGATGTAGCCAGCCGATTAATCTGTACTAGTGTGTATCTTGGCTGATTTTTGAGGTAAGGGAGCATAATTTGTATACCCCTGGATTCGGAATTTAAGTGGTTATAGCCCCAAAACTAGCCACCAGTATCGTTGCAAGAAAAATGAATTGATAAATCATAAGGTTGTATTATTTAAACCCGTATCTTTCGGGCTATAGTACCTTTAGAGGTTTACTGATACTCCTTGTCTTTTACATCCATGGCAGTATTTCTATTAAATATCTGAATTTTTCAAAATACCTAATATATTATCTTGTGAATCCATATTTATACCCCTAAATAATCTTCACGTTTATCGTTATCTTGCCGCCAGAAGTAGTAAAAGTTGTGACTGCACCTGGTTTGTGACTAAGTAGGGGGCGCCGCTCACGCCAAAGTGTCTACCACAAACGCTACATCTTAGGGGAAACGTATTATCACCTCAAAAACAAAAAGGCGTTCAATAACTTGTTTCAGTTATTTTTTCCGTTTCTGTAAATATTTTAATCAAAGCAGTATTGCGAAAAAGAAAATCCTAGTCTGAGGAGTCTCATTTACGCTGAGATAGCTCGACAATGGGGTAACTATACTAAACCTAGCCCCCGGGAAAAATTCAAGTGCAGACTTAATTGATCCTTATAATTGAGAATATTACAATTGCTTTCCTTGGGTATCCAATAGGACAACATATACTAATGGTTACTAGGAGTATTTTTACGAACAGTGGGCTTTCCAGCCGGTACGATGATTCCAGGCTGAACCTAGCCTCATCGAACGATAAAATCTCATCCTTACCCAACACAAATTACTCCATCATCCCTACAAATAATTCTCCTATAAATAAAATGATGGATATGGTGGGGGCCAACGGCCAACAGACCGCCAATTCGCTCCAGAACCGTGTGGGGAAACTCATTAAATACGAGAAAAAAGTCATCAAGCAGCAGGTCGAATTGATAAAGGAGATTACTTCGTGGCTGAATATTGTCCCGAACGAAGAAGCTTCCCAGTTATTGACTGAATTCAAAAAGTGTATCGAAGCCCAGCGGGATATCGAGGAGGAGTTGGTGCATCGCCAGGAAAATGTCCAACTTCAGTTGACCAACGTCCAGAAACGCGAAAAAAAGAATGTTGAGTTGAAGGCAAAACGTAATAAAATGGCCAGGCTGCTAAGAGACCAGGAGAGCAAGAGTGGTACGACTACAAAAACCACGTTGACGAAGGAGTCTCTCGAAGAATTAGATCTCTCAGCCGATGTGGTGGAAGAACAGTACGTTCGAGCCATCAATACGTCGTTAAAAAGTGCCCTCGTTGATTATGTTTTCAGTTTGCAATCGATTTCGGCAAAACTTAGAGAGACTTCGGGGGCGTTCTTTTCCTATTTAAACAGCAATCCCTCCATAAACTACAAGAAGAGCATCTTTGGGGGCTTGGACAACGGGTATCTACCCCAAGCCCGCACTCCATATGCCAACGATACCGAGAACATTGGAGCTGGGAACTATAGACCTTTGAAGGACACAGTCGTTTTCCCTTCCACTCCACCCTTGAAACCACACAATCTGTTTCTCAAGCCTAAATCGAGACTAGCCACCCGTGCCACCACACACGACGGAACCTGTGTTGACTGTTTACACCATACCGATGCCCTGGTTAAACGAAGCAATTCGTGTCTTCATCGAGCCCAAACTCGGAATGGAGATCTGTCCAAAACGCTGGCAGAAGAAAAGAGTCATTACATTGCTCCGGGTGGGTTGGCGGGGTTCCGGGTCGAGGGAATGGGAAATCATCAAGAATGGAGTTGACTGCGGGGTGAAACAGTAAGACATGTTATTTTCGGTCAGTAAAAAAGATATGTAGACTAAATTCAGATCCAAAACCAGATTTTGGGTCATATGCATCAAGATTTAAGGTATAAAGTGGTTTACATAACAGACTTGGGCACTAAACACGGGCGTGCTTTGAACGGGTGTGAAATGGCTGGGCTGACTTTCTGGGGGCATTTCATCGTGGAAATCTTCCCTATACACATATAGTTTGTGGTTAAATATTTTTTTACCGATATAACCAAAGGTAGTTCTCATACATACGATGCATCTACCAAACGCTGGAGATAGAGTACACCTGAACAATCCTCGCCACTTGGAATAAACTCCGAGAAAGCAGCAAAGACACAAACTCCGAGAGCTGTTCTGCTGTGTACCCAAAGAGCAGTGAATATTCCATTATAAATAGTCACATTTTTTTTACTGGTTCTTTAGTACTAAATAGCGTAACTCAAAAAGCTGAAACACTGACGGGGATCTGCGCCGGGTCGTTTCTCCACCAGTGCCCGGGAGATCCCCAGGCAAAAACTTTTCCGTAACTCGCCGGGTCATATCGGGTGATAAGTATGGGGAAACAAATAACCTGATCAAAAAGCCATACACCAACCTAAGTTCCAGGAAAACCTGGCATTGAATCAGTGACGTATAATGACAAAAAAGTTGACAGAGGAGGAAAAGCAGCGACGCAAGCCCACAACCCGGGCTTGTGTATTTTGTCATTCCAAACACCTCCAATGTGATTCTAGTACGTATGATTTTGCGTAAACACCCCGAGCTGGTACTAACCTTTAGTCCGTCCGTGCACGAATTGCACCAAGAGAGGCCACCAGGAAACGTGCACAGACATTGTGCGCAGAAAAAACAAATACTTGGCCGTGGAAGGGGAGAAGCCCAAGAAAGTCACTAAACCCAAAACAAAGAAACCCAAGGTGGACTTTGTAGATCCCGTTTCCAACACCACCACGCCTTCTGTGGTGAACTCCCCCCAGACAAACGAGGGGCTGCCGATGGCTGCTATCATTGGGGGTGCCATGGGCAAGTTCTCGTATGTGGGAGTGAGCCCCAGCCAGATCTCTGACCTACCAGCCGGGAATACAAATATGAATGCAGACCCGATGTTTAGTACAAGTCCGATGGTAGACTCTAGTGCAATCGGCAATACAGGCCCCTTAGTTGATGCTACGATGAACGTGGATGAAAATCACAGCACAAATGGCCACACACGCCTGGCACCGAATGGGCCAGATACCTCTCCCAGACTATCATTCCTGGCACGCTCCATGAAACCCACGCTCCTGGGCCTCCCCTCTTCGATGAAGAACAGTCCCCAGGCGAGCCCGGGACAGATGTTTGCTCACCTCAACCCGGCGCTGACCGCGTCCACGCCGCACTCCGACTCCCAGTACTCCAACTTGCCCTTCGACTCGATCTTCACTAACCAGGAGTACGCACAGCTCACAGACCTCATCCTCAAAACGCGTCCGTCGTCGCCCTCTTCCTCGGAAACTGACGTGCTCCAGCCGTACGTGAGCAACATCGATAACACCACCTTCCCACCCAAGCCGCGCAAGGCCATGTTTGAGCTAGGCGGCAGCCCCGTGTCGCTGTCCAACCGCAGAACATTCATCTCTCTTGCGGATATTGAGACAATCCTGCCCGATGACCAGGAAGAAGAAGAAGACCCCAGTGTGCGTTTGTTGCATTCGCTCGCACCTCCCCACGAAGAAGGCATGAGAAAAAACAAGCTGAGCATCAACATATCCGGGAGCACGGTGAGCACGGCCTACCACGAAAACAAACCCCTGCTGCTCCCGTGGAAGTTGGAGTCCAAGTACGTTCCACCGGATGTGTACCGTCAAATCGTCAAAACGCCCCAGGACTTGTACCGTCTCCAGACGTCACCGTTTGAGTATCCGGCTTCGTATCATGCGTTGACGTCTTACTTGAAGCGCCGCTTCCTCAATGAGTACTACGCCAGAGGGGAAATCGAGCTGGGGAAACAGAAGCTCATCATGATCATCCGCAACATCGCCACGTATAGGCCCACGTTCATCTCCACCTACAAGAACCTCATCCTTGACGACTTTATCTACCAGGAGATGTCGCTTCAGCGGTCGCTTCTTGATTACGAGTCCTTCTCCAGGCTCCTTGGCTTGCCCACGTTGTATTGGCGGCGTACAGGCGAGTTGTGCGGGATGTCACTGGAGTTCTCGTCGTTGACGGGCTGGTTCATGCGCAACTTGTACAAGAACGAGGACGGCACCAGTTCGCGCACACGCCGCTTCATCTTCGAGATGATGGATGACGACTCCATCGTAAACTACTTTGAGCTCTTCAAGGGCGTCGCGGTGGGCAATTTGAGCACCCAGATCAAGACCCAGTGCTGTATCTTGAAGGCCCCGGGCTTCCAAATCGGTGGCGCTAACAATAAGTACAATCAGTCGAACCTTAGGTTAAACGAGGAGGACCATGAATCGCGCAAAATCATGTGCCAGTCGGTGTGGACCATCAAGCGCGACTTATTTGACTTGCCGATGTTGATGGTGGGAGTCTTCTTGCCGATCTTGCCCGGAAGTAAGAATGAAATCAAGAAGAGTACGTCCTGGCTGCGGTTCAAATGAGCACCAATGGCTCAACCGAGAAGCGAGCGATGTTTAATACTAAGCAATGATTTGTCGTTGTGAGTCTATCAGTGTAGAAATTACGGGTGGACGGTGCGAATGAGCTGGCTCTCAGCGATCTTGCGCCTCCGGTGTCCTTCAATGAAAGGTTTTCTTTTTTTGGATATATGAAAAGTTAATGGATACTCCTCAACCCCTTCACCAGAGTATGCGGGCTAGTCGGAGGAGAGCGGATTATTGAAACAGCTCGGTATCTTAAGTTAAAATTTAACAACAAAGGTATAAATTTTTAATAAAAAGGTGAATTAAACTCTATGTCAGCCATCATACCGATGCCATTTGCGACCCACGGATGGCTAGATATTCTCAATGTTGGTATAGGTACTATATTGGAGGAACCGGGACTCAGTCATTGATAGAGGCGTTTGGGATCACCGGTGTTAATTGAGGCGCCAGAATATTTCGTATTAATCTAAAAGTAGCAAAATGATTCAACCATGGGTCTTGTTTTGCCAATAACCCTTGAAACTAACCGTTACGGGGTATGGGTGCCCAACAGGCATTGCGGGTTTGGTTCCGCTTCTTAAGCTATGGTCTCAACCCGTATTTTCAGCCATCCATTTCTTAGCAAAAAAACTATTCCAGTAGCCTTGGCGTTTTTATTTCCACGATATCCAAGTCAAAAAACGCTACGGCCCCTCCTTGGATTGTAGATTCCTGGAGTACCTCAAGCACTACGCCGCACATCCTGCAGTGTTCACGCCATTTCTTTTTCATTTGCATCTCCCAGCATAACTGCGGCATCGGCCACGACGATTATGCGCTAATTGTCAGTCACGGTATGAAAATTCACATGTATCAGATATCCAGAACTGGTCTTGATATACCATTTTACATCACACACCGCACAAGATGGCTCACAGATTATTGATCCAAGTTGCCGTCACTGGCGCCCAGGTTTTCGGCCGTGCTTTCACGGAGGCCTACAAACAGGCTGCCGCCACCACCGCTAAACAGTCTGCCTCCAGGGCTGCACGCGCCACCAACAACGGGATGCCGGTGGATGAAGCATGCAACATTTTGAACATCGAACAGAAGGATTTGACCTTGGATAAGGCCCAGGAGAAGTACGACTACTTGTTCAACATCAACGCTAAGGAAAATGGTGGTTCCTTCTATTTGCAGTCGAAGGTCTACAGAGCTATGGAGCAGTTGAAGAGCGAGATCGAGTTTGCGCAAGCGGTCAGAGAGGAAGAAGCAGCCGCTAAAGCTGAGAGCGCCGAGGGAGGCGCTGAGAAAAAGAAATAAACCCGTTACACAGCTTCATAGCCCCACCCACACCACATATCTTTCAGATACCTGCATCCTCAGAGAGCCATATGTATATATAGCTGGTTGCTCTGACTCCGCCCAAAGCTGTGGTACACGTTCATTGTATATAGTACCGCCTTTCTCCTTAATGGTTGTTTTTTTAGTCTCGCTCTCGTATGCGAATGCATTCCCAATCAGTGACGTGTAGGTAGGAAAGGGCCATTCTCGTATAGTTTATCTTTCAGATAATGAAATAGCAATTATCATATAAAAAGCACTGCATGCCGTCATTGTCATTGCTTTATTAAACGAACCTGTTTGACTTACCTAGCGACATATAACCAGTAGCCCTTACGCCGTTATCATTTATATGGTGTGTGAGCAACGTTAGCTTGGCTCCTGGATTTTGTTCAAACTCCATGTTATATACTGATGAGATGAATTTTTAGACTGTTTCTAATCAGAAATCGATTTCAACTTTCATTTTCAACTTCCACTCCATTGGGAGTGGTTCCCTACTCAGCATTTGCCCCGAAGCACACAACCCGCGAAAACGTTTTTTTTTTTTCCCTTCCGCGTAATTCTCTGGGCATGTATTCCGCCTCTTCGCGAAGTGTCGTAGCCCAAACGATGTACGACGGATACGACAATCGAAACAATTTTTAGCTGTACCTCTTTGTTTATCGGAGTCTAAATTTTCCACGTCACAGGTTTCACTTTCTACTCTTACACGCTTCATATCTTTAATAACGACGCTCCACAAATACAACTCAAGACCACTAAAGCATCCATGTCCACAGATAAGTCCGACATTGAACGATCGCTCCTTGAGGATGCCTCCACACTCTTGATGTTCGCCACCACCGTTGCCCAGCACGAACTTATAGAGGAAAAGGCAGTATCACCGCCTTTGCAGCGCCCGGTGTCCAATGGTGGAAGCGGAACGGCACTGGGAGTTCAGCCCATGACCAACTATTCCAGTGTAAGATCGGTGCACAAACGAACACACTCAGTGCCGCTAATGACGTCGCCAGGCCCCGCGGCCGCGATTTTGTCCACCAATAACCGAGAGAACAGTAGAGACGAAAAAGCAGCGATTGCTGCTGCCGCGTTACAGGCTGCCGCCGGGGTTCCCTTCCCGCCCAGACACCACGATGCCCCCAGGGTCAACCCGTCTGCGTACATTTCACATAACCCATATTCCGGGCGGACCCAGAGCACGCCGTTGCAGGCCACTTTGAATGATGGCAGCATCGCAAAGGCTGTGGAGTTGCGGCAGGAGTTAAGGCAACGGCTGCACGGCCTGATTGTTGAGACGGCGGTCAGCAGCGGCAGCAGCTCTCCTAGCGATAGTACCAAGAGGAGTGACTCCAAAGAGAAAGTCGCCAGTGCTGTGAGAGCTGCACCGGTGCTAACTAATGTTTCAGGTAGCTCGAGCTACGGACAGACTTATGTTGCCGAGAAAAGCTCTGCTCCACAGAATCTCACTCCGAATGTCTCTGGTTCTATTCCCGGATCTGTCTACGGACTGTCTGGGCCCTCCATTCCCGACGGTTTCCCTCGGAAATCTGCAAGTGAATTTGCCCATACGAAAGTCAGTGACCATACAAGTATTCCTGTTCAGGCAATTACTGTTCAAAATATTGCCCCGAATCCAAGTGTGGCTTTACAAACCACTCTGGAAGCCACCTCTCATGACAGTGTTCTGCAGGCTGCCATACAACAAAACGTTCAGAAGTTAACCTCTCAAATTACGTCACAAGACGCCCCCCAGGGCATTCCTTTAGATATTCCGCAAAGCGCAGCACCTAACTCTCACACTCAGCAACATACTTCGCAAAACGCTCCACGAGGTGCTCCGCGCGTTGATATCACTGCGTACCGTGTGGACCCGGATGCCGGTACCATTTCCTGCCTCTGCGGCTTTTCCCACGACGATGGCTTCACCATCCAGTGCGACTCGTGCAACCGATGGCAGCACGCCATCTGCATGGGTATCGCCACGATTGAAGACGCACCCGACGACTATCTTTGCTACGTGTGCGACACAACCCAGTACCTAAACCTCGACCGTGAACGCGCGATCGAGTTCCAACAGGAGTTTCTCAACCCCCGCACGAAGCGCAAGAAGAGTGTTAGCGTGTCTGAGGATGACGAGGAAACGAAGCGACGCAAGGTCAAGGAAGAAAGTGTCGCCCCCGAGGTAAAACCGGAGGCCAAAAAGTTGTACCGGCCGGCCGACGACGAGACGGGGGACGAATCTATCCAGGACTTGACCGCCGACGAGTACCACCAAGCAGTGTACTACGAGTTGAAGCTGGATAACGAGTTCAAGAACCGCGAGATCAAGCAGTACGTGGTGGCACAGTTGCCACGCCTCCTTGTGGACGAATCTCAGGCCGGCTTTTTCTCTGCGCGCGAGTGGGAAAACGTCGACACCCCGCGGTTGACGGTGAAGCCGTACGCGGAGCATCTGAAACAAAAGTTCAGTGGAATCTCCAAGCTAGGGCTCTTTACCCATGGATCCGTCCAGAAAGACCATTTTGTCATGGAGTGTCTTGGCGAGCTCGACTTTAAAGAGAACTACGTGCTCAATTCCATTAATCAGTACCGTGTCTGGGGTACCCCCAAGCCCAAGGTTATCTTCCATCCGGCCTTGCCCGTCCTCATAGACACCCGTTTTGCCGGAAACACTTCCCGCTTCATCCGCCGCTCGTGCCAGCCGTCGTGCAAACTCGGCACCTTGGCTATTGGGCCCGAGAGGGACGTCAAGTTCGGCATCTTTACAACCAAGTACTTAAAGTCCGACCTGGAAATCACCTTGCCCTGGGAATGGGACAGCCAGCATCCGTTTGCACAGCCAGAAAACACGCAATTGGAGGGCTTGAGCGAGCCGGAAAGGGTGGCGCTCATTCGCAGCGTAGAGAACGTTATGTCGCTCAGTGAGTGTGCCTGTGGCAGTTCTAATGACTGTTTGTTGTACAAGGTGAAGAAGATGGCCTCTAACTTGGCCCGGAACAACAGCAGGGGTAGCAAGGTCAAGTCGCGCTATGAGGAGTTGATGCACAAGCCAGAGAACAGGCAACAGCACTATATACCGCTTGAGCAACACCGTATTGCCCGATTGAAGCTTATCGTGGCTGCCAATGCGGTGGATAAGGCTCCGGTGGAAAGGCCGGAAGACGAGACCCCCGATCTCCCCGACAACGCCGCCATGCCCGCCCCCGAGCTTGACCTCGTGCCACTCGAGACTCCCGCCCCAGAGCCTATCTTGGGCATCAAGAACATGCCCTACAAGTACCAGCTCATGAGCAAGGCACACATGCGGCCGTTTGCGGCCGTCGCCGCCGTGGCCACCATTGAGGAGGAGGACTACCTTCCTGTCCCAGTGGCGATCATCAACAACGAAGCTCCTGCACTTGCGATCGAGGTCAAGGCCGCCGGCACCCCCGATCGGGGGGCGGCCGAATTGGATGCCGTGTTGCCGAAGCCTGTCAAGAAGTTGAGTTTCGCTGACTACAAGAAGAAAAAGGTTGTGTAGGTGAGTATTTAGATCGACCACGGTGTCTGAAAGTGTTACGCCTTTATGAGAATTTGTATCCGGTATCTCGAATATCATAGGTATCTATAATTGATATGGGCTATTGATTTGTGTGTAGTTGAGCGTTCTGGTTCCGATTACAACTTTTTTTTTCGGACAAAATTACATATTAATGAGGGTGCAATTGAGTGTGTATGAAAATGTGATAGTGTATATGCGCATCATAAATACACACGTATATTGGGAGAGGGATTCTATACTAGATTTATGCTAACTAAACCAATCTATATTTAAGTATATATAATCTTCTAGTATAGTATACATATGCTTGTGTTTGTGTGAATATTTTATCATATGCGAAATTAATTATATAAATATTAACCAACGGAAAGGAAAGGTAAAATAATAATGATTAATGCGCGTGACTATTAATCACAAGATCGTGATCTAAATCCTCATTGAGATCGATTTCTCCTTTTTATTTGCCATGAACTAGTTAAATGGGCGATATGACATAAATATTATATCAATATTTTCTTCCCCGATGACGTTTTACGATGTCAAGCCTCAGCTGGATATTTTCTGCGGGAAAAACCAAAACGTGCATACATCGATTGTCGGACAGACAAGTGGCAGGGGCTATGGTACCAGATCAAAATCCCCCTCTAAACGTGCCTCCGTACGAACTAACCTATACAAACACAACTTATCATGTCAGAGGATCTTGCAACAAAGGTGGCATTTTTGGAATCCTTGGTTAAACGCCAATCGGAATTGTTATCGCAAACAGGCCAGCAGGTGTTGGCACTCACCGTCAAGCAGACAAAGGGGCAAATTGAAGACTTGCAGCCGCCGGCCATTCCAGGCGTAGTGGTGCCAAATATTGACACCTCAGACTTTGTGGTCAATGACGATATCGTGCAATTGGTATCAGAGTTGCAGGGCCAGTTGGACAACTTGGAAACCAGAAGCATCAGACGCGGGGTGAACATCTTGAAGAGCGATGACGATGCCGTGTTGGCACCAATGCTCAACAATGACGGAGTGGAGCCCCCAAAGGAGTTGTGGCCAGCCACGTTGGGTGTGTTCAAGACCTTTGACAAGAACCACATCTTGGAGTTGAGTGCTTTCTACGACTTGTTGCCACCGCTGAAGGCAGAGCAAGACAGAATGCAGGCATTCATGGAGGGAGACTTGAGCGGCCTTAGTGAGCAGGAATTGGCCAACGGATTGGAAAACTTGAATGTGGAGCCTAGTGCTGAAGACTACAACGAGGAGGAGGTTGATACGTTCTTTGACGACTTGGCTCGTTACATCGGGGTCACCGCCAGAAGAACCCCAGCCGCATGGTAGGCAAAAACTGATCCTTTTCGATGCCTTTAGATGAATAGAAAAAGTTTATATGAGACGTAGTGGTACGGAGCCATTCTGGGAAGGTTTACGCAAAACTGTCCTCTCGGGATTCCAGAGTATGTCGCAACTACCCCTTGTATGCTAAATGCTTTTGTACCTATTGCAATGGTACGTAAACTCTATCGCAATAGAGGGTAACATGCCATGATTGTATCTTGATACCAGCATAGCCTGCAGACTATTACCTATTATCTTCCACTCCAACCAATACATACAAGCGTCTTTAATTCTTACAAGGTATTTCTAGATTTATTTTCTATTAGAAAATGTAGTGTACAAACGTGCGACCGCACATGCAAAAACGTAATTAAAAGCGTAAAATCAAGCAACCGAAAAAGTAAAGCACATAGAAGGGAAGGGTAGTGTACAGGAGTGGGGGGCCCCGGCTTAGCGCATGATGTAGTTCAATTTACCTTTGCCAACTTCAGACCTCTTCTGGTCAGCGGTCTGCAAGCCCCACTCGATGACAACATCCAAGTCTCTTGGGTTCTTGGCGTTTGGATTGGAAGAGATGGACCCCTTGATGACCTCACCCTGCTTGATGCTGATGTCGTTGTCCAAATAGAACACGGTCTGCTTCCAGTGAGTGTACTGGGCATGTGGGCCGGTAGAGAAGACAACCTCGTAGCCATCCGGATCGTTGCCGCCTGGGAAGACGATGTCGAACCAGACGATAAACGCGTGGACGGTGTCATCGCGGTGAGCGGTGACGGAGAACTGTCTGTGGAAGGCCAATTCGGCAATGGTGACAGTATTCAAGTCGAACTCAATGATGTTTTCGGACGAGGTGACCAAGGCCTGGTCCTCGACAATGTCCACCAATGGCTCGGTCATGCAAACCTCCTTGAAACAGGAGTAATCAAAGCCGTAGACATCGTCCCAGAAGTGGATCTTCTCCTGCTTGTACTTACCATCTTCCAACGCCGCAACGTGGATGGAGGCCTTGTCTGGGAAGATCAAACCACCTGGCGCAAGGTACATGTCTCTGGCGATCAATACGGTGTCCAACATGGATTCGTACAACAAGAAGTAACCCATCCACTCGGAAATGATAATGTCAACCTCCTTGTATGGCAAAACAACATCCTCCAACTTTCCTCTTAATAAGGTGATCTTGTCATCCAAGCCGTTGGCCTTGACAACCTTCTCAGCCATCTCGATGATGCTGGACATGTCGACACCGATGACGTGCTTGGCACCAGCGCGAGCGGCGAACATGGACAAAATACCGGTACCGCAGCCAACGTCCAAGACAACCTTGTCCTTGAACATGTGGCGGTTCTTGAGAATGGCGTTACGGTAGGAGATGGTACGGACGGAGTCCTTCAACATCTCTTCGTGGATGCCGAAGTGATCGTACGAGGTGAAGTAGTGCTGGTCAGCAGAGGTAAGGGCGGCCTTGTCGGTAGCCGAGGTCAATTGGGATTGTTCCGTGCTCATTGTGTAGGATAGATGCAGAAAAAAGAAAAGAAAAGGAAGGAAGAAACATAAACGAAGGTGGTTTTATATTTTTTTTGTAACGAAAAATTTTCCCGATGCGATGCTGCAGTTGGGGTGGATATTTTTTTTATTGCTTTTGAAAAAGTTTATTGCTTTTTCCCCTGATGTAGATTCAGCTCCAGGGCACGTGAACGAGTGCTTTATGCAGGGCTAAGGTTCAAAAGTTGGCGGCCGTGTCGTGAGCTAATCTATCTGAAAAGGATATAGAAAGCTGAAATAAACTACTATAATTGCAGTTTGTCACGTCTATTGCAATTACAGTGGTTTGAACTTTGACGGATGTACCGTACTATTGTGGGGATAATTCCAGGAACAATGAGTGCGGGGCAGAAGAGAATCACCATACATACTTTTGGTTGTAAGATTGAAAAACAATCGCAGAAAGTAAATCCATAATGGCTTCCTACCGAAAATACATCGCATATGCTGTGTTATATACGACTAGGCTCTTCTATGAGAAAACTATCCGTTTAATGTGAGTGTTTGCTAGATATGGAAAAATAGCAACACATTGTGAAATTTGTCATAAATCTAAATATTTGTTTGTCCACTCAATATGAAATGACTGTATTTACCGTGATTCTACGAAGTACGTTAGAAATTAATGACTTAGTATAAGCTTATAATAATGGTAATCTCTAAAATAGAAATACTTAGCTAACCTCTTAAAGCCTCCGTAATGGCCAAGTATAAACTATACCGATGCATTGCAGACGCGGAACTAGGCATCACTTGTCCACTCTGTGGGAATTCCTCACCAATCCCTGAGGGTTATTGCGGTGGCTCAAGTTTACTTTTGGTACAAATAAATACAAACTTCATCGCTCTGGCTGTTTACAAACAAGGCCATAGTTTTACCCTCTGAGGATCCACAACATGAATGTGACAGGTAGAATTCATGTCATGATGTATGCTAAAATGAGTATGCCGATACTAGATACCACACTACCGAGCCACTTCGGGGTATCAACGATAGATTACCGGTATTACGTCAGTTTGCATGTGGGCATTGAGTTACAGTGTTACGCTTTATCATTACTAATGGTGAGTGCTGCTTATTAATGTGCGGTATTCAAGCTTTTATATACAGTCACAGTCTCCGGCAGTTCGGATTCAGGTGGGGCCTATCTATGCTATACGCTCTACTGATGTAACACTTGCACGAGCTGGTATTTAATGCCCTCACCAAGATTCCCAATCGCTCTCGCAGAATTATCCCATGTCACGTGCTTGCCCGAGATTTATCCGTACGTAGGCTATTTGTGGTGTATCTGGCAGGTAATTATGGATCTTATTAGCCAGGAGGATATTGTTGGTTGCTCTAAACACTAAATAAACAATCAAGGCGAGGTGATCCTCATAAACGTCAAGGATAGCCGTATAACCATTTCGAATGAGGGGGAGGATCCGGGTAAACGGAAAGATGCCGGAGAAGCACGATGTGTAAAATAGCACCTTTAACAGATGGCCAATGGAATGCTTACATGCATGACATTCCTTGGAAAATTGCAGAACCACCCACACTTTCACCCTTTATATACTACTTCGAGTATCCACACTTTTCCAATTAAGCTCCTGTGTTCGCTATAAATACCATACAATGTCTTTTATTACCAGATTCTCCCAGCCAAAGCTTTTGGTCCCACTCGCCTCTGCTTTTACCGTCGGTGCCACTGTCTTTGCGTATCAACAAATGTCCACTGCCGCCGTTAGAAACGAAACTTCCAAGGCTTTTGCCAACGCTGATGAATGGATCGACTTGAAGTTGGTCAAGATTGAATCCTTGTCCAAGGACTCCAAGCACTTCACCTTTGACCTCCCATCCAAGGACCAGGTATCCGGGTTGGTCACCGCTTCCTGTGTGCTCGCCAAGTTTGTCACTCCAAAGGGCAGCAACGTCATCAGACCATACACCCCGGTCTCTGATGTCAACCAAAAGGGCCAACTCGAGTTCGTCATCAAGCACTACGAAGGTGGTAAGTTCACCACCCACTTGTTTGGCTTGGAGGAAAACGACATCGTCTCCTTCAAGGGCCCAATCTTGAAGTGGAAGTGGGAGCCAAACCAGTTCAAGTCCGTTGCCTTGATTGCTGGTGGTACCGGTATTACCCCATTGTACCAGTTGCTTCATGAGATCACCAAGAACCCAGAAGACAAGACCGAGGTCAAGTTGTTTTATGGTTCCAAGACCCCAGAGGACATCTTGTTGAGGAAGGAGATTGCCGCCATTGCTGCCAAGCACCCACAGGTATCTGTCACATACTTTGTCGATAGCAAGGCCGGTTCTTCTGATGATACCCTCAACGAGGGCTACATCACCAAGGAGTTTATCGCTGCAAACTTTGCCAAGCCATCCGCCGACAACAAGGTCTTTGTTTGTGGCCCACCGCCATTCTACAATGCTGTCTCCGGGGCCAAGATCTCTCCATCTGACCAGGGTGAAGTTACCGGTGCTTTGGGTGAATTGGGCTTCACCAAGGAAAATGTCTTTAAGTTCTAAGCACTGGGTGTCGAACATAAGACATATATGAACATGTATACAATAAAGGCTAGCTCTTTAAGAAATGTAGTAGGGTGTGGGTCGGGAGGGAGCTATGGGAATCATAACAAAGTCTCGGATATACATATTTTTAGTTATGTGTATCTGAGACTTTGCCACTGACCGGGATTTGAAAACAGAGAGCAAAGAATAGAGAGCAAAGAATAGAGAGGTAATAATAGAGAGGTAAGAATAGAGGAGCTGGTTTAAATTTTTGTATGAATGACTTGTGATAGGTAAATTTTATAAGCCAGTACGTCCTAAAACCGTGTATTCCAGCCACGCGTGATTGTTACAATGTGCGACTTGTAACCGTGTTCGGACCGGACTCCTTTCCTCTCACTTTGGTCGAAACTCTTGGAAATAAATCAAAATTTCCTACTTTAGTTTCTATTTAATTTGTATTTACCGTAAGTAAACAAAGACAAGTTGTATTGTCTACGTGGAGAAACACTACGTTTGTCATCTATCTAGTTACGCATGACATTCAAGCATATACCTTAACACTAAGTCAGTGGCAACTATCAATTTCTCAACACCTGGCAGATTAGTAAATCACTACAAGGCAGGCTCTTTTTCGGAAAGCCATACCCCTAAGGTGGATTCAAAATAGAATATTAGCAAACCATCGAAGACTTATCATATATGCACAGGGTCGATGCACGTGCCGAAAACTCGAAATGTGACATGCACCAGGGATAGAATCAGATGATTCCATTGCATCTTGCTCACTATTCAAAACAGACCCAGCGCATTCTCACCGCTAAATTACCACAATTGCCATCCCTAATCCACCTTTCTATGTCCGCCCTTCAATGTAAGCCATCACAGCTCCTTCAGCTTGCCAAGGCTACGATCATTCAGCCTATGCTCCCCCACTTCCACAAGGGCCAGGCGGGTCGGATTTTGATTATTGGTGGGTCAGAGGACTACACGGGTGCCCCTTTCTTCCTGGGTCACGCGCTGATGCAAATGGGCTGTGATTTAACCCACGTGGTATGCGATGCCGTGGCTGGTAGTACCCTAAAGACCTACTCCCCCGACTTAATGATTCATCCGTATTTAGTGAGTAGCGCAAGTGAAAGGGTAAAGGGCTTCAAAGGAGTACCAAAAACAGATTCGGAGGCGGATTTGGTGGTCTTTTTGGACGACTCCCCGTCAGACGTGAAAGCATTCATCGACTCGCACGTCACTCTGAGGATCAACTCCGTGGTGAGCCGATCGATTAACGTTACCGTGGTGGGCCCCGGCTTGGGAAGGGATCCGTTGGTTCTATACACGGCTCAGAAGACTCTCGCGCTGATTTTACTCTCCGGTAATCCTGTTATCATAGATGCGGATGGGTTGTACTTGGTGTCACTCAAACCATCAATCCTTACGGATGCCCTCAATTCTGAGCAGAGCAATTCCCAGGTGGTGTTGACTCCAAATATCATGGAGTTCCAAAGACTATGCAAGGCGGTAAATGTTTCCGTTGATCTGGAAAAACTCAGCTCTAAAGACCCAGAGGCGCGTGATACCTACACCACGGAGTTGGCCACCCTTGCCTCTAATCGGCTTCACAATGTTTCTCTTTTGGTCAAGGGTTACCACGATATAGTTGTTAATGGAAAGACTTCTATGGTATTGGACCACTCTAAGAGTGTCATTCCTTCTTTGAGAAGATGTGGGGGACAAGGCGATACGTTGACGGGGATTTTGGCAACCGCCATGGCGTGGGCTGCCAACTATCAAAAGGGTCGCCTATGGGACATTTATGAGCATAGCCATGTCGTTGAGGGATTAATCGGAAGGAAGAAACTAACCAAGGACGAAGGGATTATTCTTAGTTGCTATTTAGCAACTTTGATTTTGCGGAAAAGCTCGTCCCAAGCCTATGCCGAAAAGAAGAGAAGTATGCTTGCAAGTGACGTGGGAAAATTCATCGGGTCGAGTTATGAAGATTTGGTGGGGGAATAAGAAACAGAACAAGAACTAGCTCATTATTGGGCTACGTAAATTTTACGACTTTCCAGTTTATTTGAATGCGCATAGGCGGGGCCTGAGCTTATTACACAATTAACGATACAAGTTTGAATTCAGCTTTATGAATTTGAACTTTGAGGTATTTGAGGTTTGAACAGGGAGAAGGTTGAAATCTTTAAAGCTGCCAACATAAAATATTAAGCGTACATTAAATCTTGGCGGGTGCCAAGTAGAAATATCAACGTTCATGATTAATTGAACCCATAACGGAGAATTAGTGTTTTGTTTGTCATAGCACGTAGATATGAAATTGAAATTACATAGGTAATAAAGGACCCTTTAATCTAGTTCTGATAGCTTGACTCTGAAGTATTCATTCTGCTTTGAAATACTTGACATTTATAAACGTTCTCACCAGATCTGGACCTAGACTTTCATGGTTCGTGCAATAGAGCCGAAGGGGTCTCCTTGGAGTCTTTTCACGCTACATACGTGCAACCCTCCAGGCTTTACGTTCTCTCTTGCAATACCTGGCGGATATAGAGGTAAAAACTGCCGCTTTGATATAATACACAATCCCTTTTAAGCCATACGCCAGAGGAAACCCTCGCCACCAGATGCGGCATCTCGAGATTATTCCCAATACGGAAACTTTATACGGTTACCCGCCCACACACAACAAATCTGACATGGTTTTCGCGCCCACACATCAGACTGTTTTTTCGGCTTGGAAAATTTTCACCTGAGTACACGATGCACTATATAATTCCAACTTTTTCCACTAGTAAAGTTTCCAGAGATTTTTTCTCTTTCCTCCTTATCTTAACTAAAATGTCTGCTCGTCCACAAGTTACCGTTTTGGCCATCTCTGGTGAAGCCACCACCGTCTCCCTCCCATTGCCAGCTGTCTTCAAGGCTCCAATCAGACCGGACATTGTCCACTCTGTTTTCACCGCTGTCAACAAGAACAAGAGACAAGCCTACGCTGTCGCCGAAAACGCTGGTCACCAGACCTCTGCTGAGTCCTGGGGTACCGGTCGTGCCGTCGCCCGTATTCCACGTGTCGGTGGTGGTGGTACTCACCGTTCCGGCCAGGCTGCTTTCGGTAACATGTGTAGAGGTGGTCGCATGTTCGCTCCAACCAAGACTTGGAGAAAGTGGCACGTTAAGGTCAACCACAACGAGAAGCGTTACGCTACCGCGTCCGCTATCGCTGCTTCTGCTGTCCCATCTTTGGTTTTGGCCAGAGGTCACAGAATCGAGTCTGTTGCCGAGGTTCCATTGGTTGTCGCCGACGACTTGGAGTCCGTCACCAAGACCAAGGAAGCCGTTGCTGCCTTGAAGTCTGTTGGTGCCCACAAGGATGTTGTCAAGGTTATCAAGTCCAAGAAGTTGAGAGCCGGTAAGGGTAAGCTCAGAGGTAGAAGATTTACCCAGAGAAGAGGCCCACTCGTTGTCTACGCTCAGGACAACGGTTTGGTCAAGGCCTTCAGAAACATCCCAGGTGTCGAAACCGCCAACGTTAAGTCTTTGGGTTTGTTGCAGTTGGCCCCAGGTGCTCACTTGGGTAGATTCGTTATCTGGACCGCCTCTGCTTTCGCCGCCTTGGACTCTGTTTGGGGTTCCGAAACCACCGCCTCTGTTAAGTCTGGTTACACCTTGCCAGCCAACATCTTGGCCAACTCTGATGTCACCAGATTGATCAACTCTTCCGAAATCCAGTCCGTCGTCAGACCAGCTGGCCAGGCCACTCAAAAGAGAACCCAGGTCTTGAAGAAGAACCCATTGAAGAACAAGCAAGTCTTGTTGAGATTGAACCCTTACGCCAAGGCTTACGCCGCCGAGAAGTTGGGCTCTGCCAAGGTTGTCCAGTCTAAGGTCAAGCCATCTAAGGGCCAGTTCGCTGCCGTCTTGAAGCAGGATTAAGTAATCAAGTCGAGCGCTTCGGTGCTTTTCTGTTTATATATTTTATCTTTGGCAGGAATCGTGGTGTGTGTATTACATATGTCTAATCATGGTTTTGTTTCAAATTCGATTGTAGTGAAGGTTTGATATGGATATCGGGCGACATTGAAGCGGAGGGCTTGCGTATACGTGATTTAACTGTCCTACGTCGATTGGTAATCAGATATTCTATGCGCAAGTTGAATGCCATTAGAATACCAGTTATGGAAGTACCGAAATTATACGTACTGAGATTCTATTAATATATACCGAGATCTTATTTATGTAGTATGAGAGGAGCTGGGACTTGTGAAGATGGAAAGGCATGGAGATGAAAATTGGCCGAAAATCCGGTGGACTGGTCATAACCTTAGTATATGTCAGGCCTCCCTATGTAGCCCCTTTCACTGCATTCAACGCCTCTTCGGCACGCTCCCCACCCATCACTGTGACCAAGTATTCTCGATGGTTCGGGTGGTCATCAATGTAAATTGTAGCCCCAGTTTCTTGTTCCACACTGCGGAGATTATAAAGCGATAAACAACCGGTTGGGGTGACTCGGTTTGACCGAAAGTAATTGTATCGGTCCTGCGAAATGGTGGAGCCTATAACATTTTTTTCGCCTGAAGTGTATGTCATGCGAAACTTTTCAAGAATATGGACCGCCTTCGATAGCCGTTCATCATCTGGTGCGCTTATCTCGAGTATGAAGTTACCTGTTTGGGTCTTGGTCTTGCTAAAACGGTAGATCCTAAACTTACACCCCTCACCCGAAGAAGCACTGACACCGGCTAGCTTTTCCAATTGCCGCAACTTGGTGTCCCCATCATGGGTCAAGAGAGGAAGCAAAAGGTTCTGGAGGGTCAAGGTGTGTGTCTTTCCAACAGCCCGCGTCTCCTCTTTCAATTTGACATAACTTCGGAGCTTGTCCATCGCCACCAAGACCTGAAAACAGTCTTTATGGTACACTTCTAGTGTCACAAAAGACGGCGAAATCTCCTGTTCTCGTGGTATAAGAACACAATTGTTATTTCTCTCGATCCTGCGCATTAACAGGGAATAGTCCGGATCCGAAAAGACGTTTCGAGGAACTTGAAGTGACTCCATATTAGTGGCATACTTAGAAAACATATCTTCTATGGCATCCAAGCAGCGATCCATGTGACTCTCCGAAGTGCTCAGGATGGAATAAGATGCACCAATTCGTTTAACGAGAGACTGGTTCGATTTTTCGATCCTGTCTAGCAAGTAGCGGAACTTCTGGTGCCGAAATAACAGTTCGTATGGCAAATTTTCCTCACAGAACCGAAACTCCCGATAAACCGTGTACTTCAGCTTCTCAAAAATCGGAGCCAAGCAGGCGTGAATCTTTTCGAGGGCGCTTTGAACCTGAGAAGCGCTATCGCCAATGACATGCACCTCCCCAAACTCGCCGTTACCAGAAGGCAGACTCCATGGTTTGTTCCGTTCCTTTTTGTAGTTCACTTTGACGTTGTAGTCTCTTTCTAGATCATTCACCCGCAGGAAACCCTTACCGGCAAACTTGAGAAATGATTCATGGTGGACTTGTAGCTTTCTGGAATGTTCAGAGAGTTTTCTTCCATACTCCTCCACGTATGTTACTGTTTCTGAGATATCCCCGACGGTGGAATATATACGCAACAGGTCCTTCGTCTTTGATAGATTGATGTTTGTATTCTGGATGCTTTCAAACCATGAGAGATTTCGCAATATCATATGGAAATACGCCGGGTCAAAAGCCACGTAAACACTTGAGTCTGCTAGCTGCTGGACAACACTGGTTACTAAACCATAAGCCCCTTGGACATGTGATGGATCAAGCGCGTAGATGTGGAGCTGTACGCGCTCGGTGCCTCTCATCTTGAGGATACTCTTGGTTTTCCGTTCAATAGCGGCTAAACGGGGGTAAATAGCGTGGGATAGTTCACTGGGGATGTGTATCTGTTTTGAGGAGGCTTTCAACAAATCCAAGAGCGATTGAAACTCAGCCTGGCACTGGAGGGCATCTGGAGAGTAGATAGTCACTTCCGTGACGGTGTGGGAGCGATTCATGGACACCACTGCGGCGTATTTCTTTTCAAGTGCGGCAAGAACTCCCTTTGACGTAGCAATCACCACCGCTAAGTCTGATTCCACCTTAAACGCGATTGTTTTGGCCTCCAAAATTCTCAAGAGAGCAATTATTTTGTCCCTGGCGGCATCAACTCCCGTCTGGGAAGCTCCCATCACCAATATCAGCCCGTCAGTGGTAATTGTTACCTTATGGGAGGCTTTAATTCCTTCAATTTCAGCCAGAAATGCCCGAAACAACACTGGAGAGCGGTCGGACTTGATAACAGAGACAACTAACAGTGCGGCTCCCTCTAACAAGCGTTTTTTGGCCTTGTGTGCCTTGCTTTCATCGTCGGCAAAGATGTAGAGCACCTGGCGGCCGTCAGTCACGGGCGCTGCAACGCTGATGTTTGTATCGGTGGCGATCTCAATCCCTGCAATAATATTTTTGCCACCCAAGAGGCTGCGAATAGTCGCTGACGTCAACTCCAACGTCTGACTGCAGTTCTTCAACAGCTCTAACCTTGCTTCGATCAAGGCCGTAGCCTTATCCAAGGCAGCGGCTCCCCCTTTGAGTTCGATAGATGTATCTTTACCACTCTTTTTGGAAATCTTTACTTTGGCTATTTCAGCAATAAGATTGAGCTTTTGGTTATATTGGCCCGCTAGCGCGTTGAGGACCATTTTGCTCGGCAACTGGATGGACTTGACCTCTGAGAGGGTGTTCTGGAAATGTCTATGCGGTGTAATACTCCATATTGCCAGTATTTCCCGAAATGACTGGTTTACATAGCGACTAAACATTTCATTGCGAGGAATAGAAGCCTAAAGGGTGGACTATTATGCGACATGTACGACAACCGTTATCTATAGTGAAATTTTGAGTAGCCTTTCGCGCAAATGCGTCACTCTTTGGAATGTTCGCGAGAACCCCAGGAGAATCAGCTATAAATCACACACTGCCAACAGTTAGTATTAAGAACCCTTACAGACTAAAATGACGTTAAAGGTAAATATTATGAATACCTATTTATAAACGTCATCTTGAATTGATATAGTTACGCAGGTTGTATGTATTTGTACCCAGATTTCGGGTCCGTTGCAGCTCGCTAAACAGACCCCATCATTTTCGCGGACATCGGAAGTAACTGGGACATCTGGTCTTTTAGAGTGCGACTGCATACTTTTCACTAGCATCAGCAGCTTGTATTAATGAATCAGCCCAGTAAAACATGTTTAATTAAGTTGAGCCACTTTAATCTAGAGTAAACATACCTGTTAATGTATTTTATCAACCTCAGGGAATATTTACCCTTTTAGAGACATACAGGTGGAGGTCAAGTAAGACCACCATCCAATCATCTACATCTTTATCCATAAAGTGTTTAGTCACTGCGAGGAGTAACCATTGACATTAGTTTACATCATTACATAGGTCGAGTAGCTGAATAGTCCATTAATACAGTGTGCTGTAACTGATTTCATCCATATTCTTGTATCCCTGGGTAATATGGACATAAATATTTTCCATGTTTACAAGTGTGTTTCGAGCTTTTCCATCAGGACGAGAATCCTGCATCTTTCCTCTCGCAAAACCCTATTACGCGAACGCATAAGTATTTCAGTTCAACCATGATTATATCTCATCTACTCATATATTTCTTGTTTCCCATCCATTTTTTATCATGTCCGTGTCCCCTGCAGAGCCTCTTGACTCCCCCAGCACGCGCCGCTACGTGACATCCCTCACGGTCTCGCGGCCGTTCCTCACTCCGGATGAAATCTCCACGCTCCGCCGCAAAACTTGTCCCAGCTTGAGCACGTATGTCGCACGGCGCAGACAGGCCGCAACCGTACTCGCATACGTTATTCGCCAGCTTAAGTTCCCGCTGAAGCTCCTCCACACGGCGCTCACATACTACCAGCACTTCTACTTGCACCATGTATTCAATCTGGACCACCACACGGACGTGGCGGTGACGTGCCTCTTCCTCGCCTCCAAGACGTGTGACACGATCAAAAAGCTCCGCGACATTCTCGCTGCAGCACAGCTGGTGAACCCGGACGATGGTGTGCCGTATCCAGGCTTTATTGTGAATAACGAGTCGCTCGACGACCAGCGCCGCCGTGTCATGCACTGGGAGAAAAAGTTGCTCGAGGTGATGAGCTTCGACTTTCGTAACAACATTAACTGCCTGGTGGATTCGTTTTTGGTAAAGTATCTCAAGGCTGCTATTCCCGATACCACCACGGTGGTGGGTGAAAACATGAAATTCTTGAGCTATGTGCTCACGTTCGACGTGGCGAATACCGATATGTCGCTTCTGTATCCATCGCATGTGATTGCGCTCGCGTGTATCCAACTCGCGGGGTGTCTCGACGAACTGTATGCGTTACTCGACTCGGGTCCGTTGCTGCGCTCTCAGCACGACTCGTTACTCGAATCGATCAATACACGCTCGATGGACAAGTTCCGCGTGCCCACGAGCCTCGTGCGTGGTGCCTACCGTGCACTTTTGGAGTTCTACCACGAAAACTACCAAGTATCGCAGTTGGCGCGCTACGCGACCGAGTCACCGATTTTCCACGACCTCCTCGAGCGTACCCAAGCCAGCAGCTGGCGTGAGAGAGACGTTGCGCACGACAGATACATCCAGGCAATAGTGGGGCACGAGCGGGGCTCCAATGGTGCTACAAAGGAGACTGTGAGTAACCGGTTTATGCTCGGAAACAAGCGCAGCCGGTTTACCATGGAGACAAGGTAATTGCATTGATACACTAGAAAGCTTGATATAGATATAGCGGAATAGTCGTGGGTTACATTTATAGGATGCCACATGCAATCTGCCTATTCAGATAATTCCATATTATATAATACAGTGAAGGCTGACCGTTAATAGCGAAATAAATAGTATAACCAACTTGTCTACCGGTACGAAACCTCCAGCATATGCTTTCATAATATGGGCGAATTTTTTGCGGGAGGGCAAGATTACAATACTCACACTGAAAACCTGGTTATGCCAGCGAATACTTCACAAGCTCTTGTCCTCATTGCGTATAAATATCTTGTACACCTGAAGTGTGGCAATTCCAGATATGTCCCCCCTCTCAGTTTTATTGATTAAATACTAATCACAAATGATAGACGCCAATTAACATTCTCAATGGTTTAACATTACCTGTGTTGAATCTCATGTTCCACTCCGATAGATCCCACCAAATCCTCCCACCGCCCCTTCCTCATTGGATCAATCTCTACTAGTTTCGCTACCAATACCAGCATTTCCTCCACCAACTTTCCCTTATCACCCCCGATCCTATACATCTCCTTCTTGATCCACCCCATGCACACAAGACACCACTTGTTATCCACTCCATCATCCTCTACCTCAAGCTCGTTCAACTCCTCAACCACACCCTGAACTTTCACTAATGTAGCCATCTGTTCTGCTTCTGGCATTGTCGGCAAAAGTTCGCAAAGCAACCAGTGCAAATACAACCAGTGCGACGAGTCGGCGGCGTCAGTGTACATAGCGTTGGTCAAATACGCAATTTCTGTCGTTAAAAACTCCGACGGGCGTTCGAACAAGGACCCAGGCGGTGGGGAGAGAAGGAGCTGGGGAACCAACTTGGACCGCTGGTGCCAGGCCGAGTAGTTCGACAAGTTGGCGTTAATTTTCTGGGTGGTGTACTCGAACTCGATATTCGCAAGTTGTACTCGTGCCGCACCCGTCTCGTGATCCGTGGCGAGTGCTGCCATCTGGCCCGTCACAAACCGCCTGTAGTGCCAGCCGTGAAAGTTGCGGCTATCCTGCTCGAGGAGCTTTGCTACTATGGCCAACTCTGTCTGCCACACCTTTGCAATGAGCGCCGGGGTGATTTCCATCGAGGGAATATCGGGAAAGTGCTGGAGGACCCAGACCCGGTGGTTCCAGATCCAGTAACATTTTGGAAAGCGCTTCAAGTGGAGAAGCGTGAAGTGGAGCTCGCGATTGAAGAGGTCAACAAAGTCCACATCCGCCAGCGCTGCCATCAACGCGAGGAGGATCTCACGACGGTAGTTCCACGCCGAGTAGTATTCGGGGTTCAACGCAAGTAGCTGGGAATTCTTTGCTAAACTTTCGAGTGAGTAATCGTGTGCCTCTCGGAGCGCAAGTATCTGCTCATTGAGACGGCGATACGTCGCGATTTTGTTCGAGTCCTGTTGGCGTTTCTGCTCCCGGAGTTGAGCAGATAAATGTGTCCGTTTCACGCCGTGCTGACCGTTAGTATGTAATTTGAAGAAGAGAGAGGGTACATACCATTTTGAAGAGGAGTGTGGATGATGTGTGACCGGGAATATGGCTGGGGTGATTCGGTCAAGAAGAAAAGATTGAGATTGCAGAGATAAGGTCGCGAATTAGCAGTGGAATCCCGATATAGGTATCCGCGAAAAGGTTGGGTGGGAACCACTTTCACAACGCCAAATTCATCACGACGAAACGTTTTATATAGTATAAACGTAACGGATATTGCATATACAAGACCTTTAGTTTGGAACATTCGATATAACAGCGGTTAAACCCTATAGGGCAGACTGCTTTGGTTGAGCGACGAGTTTCTCAAAGTGACACTCTCTAGGTCCATGTATTAACGAGCTAATGATTCAAGCTTCAATTTATGTTAGTCCTATTATATCCCAGTACTGCTAGCTATATTACGAAATGCAAGAACATACGGCCCTTTATACAATACACTACAGAGTTGCGAGATATAATTACAAAATGAAACTTTACACCTGAAACCTTACTTCATAGAGATAGATAGATACGCTCAACATCCAGATTTACACTCCTTAATACCATTTCCTCAAACAAACGGTTTTACCCACTAACATATACTCCGGGTGCAACGTCTCATGTTAATTTTACATTATTATTTATTCGCGAAATAGCGATAGAAAGACAGCCGCATGAAGTTAGCGGCGCACGTCGGCTAATGTTTTCAAATCAGATCTCTTTTTCAACTACACGGTGCCAGCCTAATCCGTCTTAGTACCCGGAATACAAAGTATCAGATAACTTACCACACTCACTAAAACTACTTATCATCCTTCACCTTACTAAGATATCATATCCAACTATTGCAATGTCATCCGCCCCCACCCGCTCTACGGTGTCGCTCAAGGGCTCTTCCAAGATCGTTGCTGACTTCTTCGAGTACTCCATCAACTCGATCCTCTACCAAAGGGGTATCTACCCACCAGAGGACTTTATAACCGTCAAAAAATACGGATTGAATATGGTCATCACTCACGACGACGATATCAAAAAGTATATCCGCAAGATCTTGTCGCAGCTCCACAAATGGCTCATGCGCGGCAATATCGACAAGCTAATTGTGGCGATTGTCAATAAGGATGATTACGAGGCTGTGGAACGGTGGCAGTTTGACGTCAAGTTGTTCAGCAATACTGAGCCGCGGGAGGACGCTCCAGAGAAACTGTATGAAGACGTCCAACGCGAGATCCAGGCAATCATCCGCCAAATCACCGCGTCTGTGACGTTCCTCCCAATTTTATCGGCTGGGAACTACACCTTCAACGTCTTGGTATACTGTGACCCCAACGCTCAGGTTCCCACCGAGTGGATTGACTCCCAGCGTGGCGGCATGGACTTGGAGGGGCGCGTTGAAAACGTCAAATTCAAGGAGTTTTCGACAAACGAGCATGAGATCGGGACGCTTGTGAGTTATAAGTTGAATGAATAGGCGTTAATCCAATCGCCAGCTGAAGAATACTAAGGGGGCCACTGGAGGTTTAGGATGTGGCCTTTCCTAGTTGGTGAGAAAATACACACAACGGGCTTAGTACTCATTCAAGCGTTGCCTGATTGGGGCCCCCACATACCATTGAAACCTGGGCCCTGCCCATACAGAAGGCCATTCGGGCAGTCCACGCATACCTCAATGCATTGAATAAAATGGCTTAGGAGAATCCAGGTCTCCAGTGTTTACCCTTTTAGACGATAGATTTTCTAAGTTATGCATCAAACAAAACCCTCTATCACAAGTCCTGCGGATACCAATTGCGGCAAAAATATTGAATCAACATGACACTGGGGATTTCTCCTCCAAGCCACGGTAGAAAATCAAAGAAAATCTAGGCGTTTATATAAATCAAATCTCCATGCTTGATATGATGTCCGTCTTGGCTTAGAGTAGCCGATACGCCATAGTATAAATACAACCATCTCTAGCGTCCTAATCTTTGACATTTACAGTGATACTAACCACCAGATAAATTAAAAGAGTGTCCTACGACTATGAAATTCCACATCCAGACCAGGCCACACGTACACCCCGAATGATATTTCTTGTTCCACCATACATTCGTGGGGCTCTAGCATGGAGGGCAGATTCAGCACGGGCGATCAGGTTATCAGTGTCCCTCTCCGTGTGCTTTACAAACCAATATGTCATGCAGCAACGCATCTTTCTATGCCGGAGTGAAAAATTATTTTATTTATATGCAGTGCTCTCAAATTTAAAAAGGCATGAAAAATTTCTCATACCTTTCCCTCACACCCATACAACTACATCATGGCTAAGGAATCCAAAACCAGAGGCAGAAGAGCCGCAAAGGCAGAGAAGAAAGAAACGGGCGATTTTGCGCCGCCGGTGGAGACAACAGAGGAGGCGAAAGCTGTGCTCAACGAAACGCCCACCACCTTTTTCGGGCTCGTGGACTCCCAGGAATTGGACTACTTTAAGCAGGCAGAGTCGACCTTAAACGTGAACGCCTTCAGTAATGAGGAGGAACGTCAGGGCTTCATCCGCTCGGTGTTGGAGGAGTCCAAAGGCAAGGAATTGAAGTTGATGACGAACCAGATCTGCTCCAAGTTGGTCGAGAGACTCTTGCTTTCATGCACTGACGCGCAGGTCAAGCGTTTCTACCGGGCATTGCAGGGACATTTTGTGGCTCTTGCTAACCATAAGTACTCGTCGCATTGCTTGGAAACCTTGCTCGTGCGTGCGGCCGCGTTGGTTGAGAAGGAGATTTTGAACCCAGACTTGCAGTTCGAGCTTGATGATGAAGAAGAGGAGGCCCAACCGTTTGTCTCGATGGAAAATCTCTTCCTCATGATGGCCGAAGAGTTTAAACCGCAATTACCCGCGATGGTCACTAACCAGTACGCCTCCCATGTATTGCGTCTCATCATTTTGATTCTTGCAGGGAAGGAGCTTCCATCCTCGACCGTTTCCAACTCGACGTTGCGCTCTAAGAGGTCTAAGATTGCGCGTAAGATGATTGAAATCATGGACAATGAGGATTTTGCCAAACATTACCAGACTCCATCGTCTTTCAAAGACGAAATGATGACGTGGTTTACGTCCATCATCCAGAACCACACCCCCAAGTCGATGAGAGAATTGTCCGTGCACAAGGTTGCCTCTCCTGTCTTGCAGTTGATCATCCAGGTTGAGGGAATGGTTGATAAACAGAGATCTTTCTGGCATTTGTGCTTTTTAGACACGTCACACGTGGAAAAAGATACCTCTGAGGGTGCCTATGTGGAGTACTTGTTGTCTGATGCCGTTGGCTCGCATTTCCTCCAGAACATCATCACACACGGTGGTAAGGTCAAGAACATGGATCGTTTATACAAGCTCTACATGAGCGATAGAGTATTGCGGTTGTGTAACCGTAACACGACGGGGTGCTTTGTGATCATGGCGCTCATGAAGAAGTTGAAGCCAAGCAACTTGGACCAGATCTTGGACGAGTTGATTCCCCACATTGCCGAGTTTTTGGTGCCAGCCGAGGCCGACAGAGCTGCCAACTTGGAGATGGTCAAGGCGATCATCGATACCTCCACCGAGAGAAAGAACTACAAGAAGGAGGAGATTGTGGAGTCCATGTTGAGCATCTACACTTCCAAGCCGGCCGAATTCACCGAAAACATCTTGCAGTTGACGGGTTCCACCTTAGGCAACACCAGAGACGACTGGCCGACAGCTGAAGAGAGACGCCGCTCGTTGTTCTTGCAGAAATTGTGTGCCTACGACACGAAGTTGATGGCGTTGACACTTGACGGGATTCTCGAGTTGCGTGCCCAGCGCATTGTCCAAATGTGCAAGCATGGTGTTTTCTCGCATGTGCTTGAGGTGTTGTTGGAGGCCCCTGTGGAGCTTGACGTGATCAAGCGCCGAAAGCTCATGAACTTGTTTACGGGAGAAATAGCCGAGCTTGCGTGCAACTCCTACGGGTCGCACATTGTGGACAAGTTGTGGGTTTTTACTGTGAAGTTGAACTTGTACAAGGATAGAGTCGCGGGTGAGTTGTATGCGCAGAAGGAAATGGTAAAGGAAAGCACTTACGGGCGCTTGGTCTGGAAGAACTGGTCCATGGAGTTGTTTACGAGAAAGCGTGGCGATTGGAAGGCCTTGGTCAAGCAGCAGGAGCTCGAGATGTTCCCGCCGGTGGCCGCCCCAGCGCCCCAGGAGGAGAAGAAGCCGAAGATTAACTTTAACAGAGAGCCAGTGCTTAGTGGGAAAAGAGCGAGGGAGTATGACGAGTATACCCAGCAACAGTCGAATAAGATCAGAAGCAGGGGCCGCAGATAAGGGCATTGGTAGCAAATATCGCTGAATAGAGGAGGCAAGGCGAATGCAACTTTGGAATAGTATACTGATGGACAAGGTGGAAGTATTCGGCAAGTACGGAGGCATGGGGTGTATATTAATAATTTTAAGATAAGAAATAGGTACTTCGTAACTTTATCGATCCTAAGTATCCATGGATAAGTACAAGCAGACAATGCATCAACTATTTGCTCTGGCCTTGGGTGTGTCAGTATAATAAATAACGTTTACTAGCAATAGACCCAAGTCTTATGCAATAATGCCGGTGCCAGAGACGCTCGCCGATTGAAACCCAGGATTTAGAGTAACTTCTCTTCCTCGCCGTAGACAAATCTGCGACCGTAGATCCCCAAGTTTCCAAGCGCGAGCCCAGTTAAACAGAGAGGCCAAATCTTGCCCCTGATAATCTGTCTGACACTGGCACCACCGTTAACCAACAAGTACAAGGTCGACCAGGCCATGTTGAAGCCAGCACCATCGTCAACCGCACCGTCACGCACAATCCACCCACCAAGAGCCATGGCACCACCAAAGCCAATGCAAGACAACGGGGAAGGCTTGATTCCTACCTTGGCGGAACGCCTGAACATGCTCATGAGCCCACCAGAAGAGGCCTGGGCCGGCTGCACCGCCTGCACTTTATTGTTTTGAGATGTGAAGGTTGCCAACAACGCGGTCGAGAAGAGCCACGCAGGGTAGGGGGTTTCACTGGAAGAGGTGATATTTTCTAGAACCGAGGACATTGGGAAACGCTTTTATCTATACGGAGTAAGCAAGAGAGGGCTGTTTAATGGGATTTATAAGCAGAAAAGCGTTCATGGAGTATATAGCTCGAGACCTTGATGCTGCCTTCGATGCAGGTTGAGCAATCATGAAAGGAAAGAATTTACATGCAGGATATATTGCTGCTGGTGTCAAAAATAATGAAGGGTGCGGGTTTCGAACCCGCGCGGACACAGTCCAGTAGATCTTAAGTCTACCGCCTTAGACCACTCGGCCAACCCTCCACGGTTTTAATTTTTCAGAGATGTGCTGGGATATGATGAGATGAGCCAGAGAATACTCTTGCACATTTTCCTTTAATTCTGTTATACATATCCCTTAACCCCGGTAGTTTCACAAGGATTTGGGAGACCAGATATACCTCGTGCTTGTTATTATCTAGCAATTTTTTGCTGAATAACGTTGGTGCCCATGGCGATAAGTAATTAATAATAACTGGTTATAATAATTTACATATCCTTTGGTAAAGCAGCAGAATTTTAAATATGTAAATAGATTATGTATATTCATTAGTTTTGATAATAAGAATAAGGGTATTGTATACCTTTTTATAGATAATTGGTTCTTCCTGTAGCTGCTTATGATCAACCTGAAATAAAATCTGAGTCATTATTATAACTCCGAAATTTTGGTTTGAGTAATATTGCTATTATCACCCTCCGTGTCATTTTTCCCTTCTCGCAATGTCTCGCTCGCTTTGTAATAAATCGATCAGACCCATACTCCTTGTCGGAAATCCGGTTTTCAGCGAGATTGAATCTTAGGAAGAATGTAATTAGTGTGATAAATGAGTCGCAGCCACCAGGCACTTTCAAAAGGTTAACGTTGAGGAGCCAACAGTGCGATTTTTCGCTTAACCATCTCGGTAGATTGGCAAAACTTCCCTCAAGATTGCATTTGCGAATAATTCTCTGTTTGTATACACCTTACCCGTGATAAATATTCAAGATCTAAATACTATTATGTGACTCTTGACCAGTACACGGTTCTAGTTAACACCCATGCCCTTACAAAAATCCACGGCTTAAGTAAGCACGCTCCTAAACCTCAGCAACGCTTTTATTCGCGGATAGCTGACCTGGGATCATAATATGAATAATAGACACTGTTACTGGATTTGCAAACACCGAGACCTAAAGCCAAGTTTTCCAAACACCGAATGGTTGAGAATTGCGGGGCGTGTCGGAATTCGGCAGGGGCCTGTACCAAAATTTACCCCACATTTCCCTGCGAGACGTGCAGCAGAAGCGGAATTTCGGCGGCTAATTACATCGAATTAAACCTAAATATCAAGATCGGGAGCAATACCAGCAGTTATGGTTTCCCCTCTTTCTTCGGGATGACCTCGCACACCGCACACAGTGGACAAGGAAAAAGTATAAAAGGTCAAACGCCGCCAGTGTGCAATTGAACACTTTTACGTCTCGCACAATACGACAATGGTCAAATCTACGACAGTCTCCGCTCCATTCTTAAACCTTGATAATTTATTGGCCGAAGGGCCGATATACAATCCAGCAATCAATACGATTTACTGGATCGATGCTATTGGCTCCAAAATCCATCGTGTCAAACTCTTGGACAATTCCAATGAGATCACTGACTACTCCAGCAAGCAGATTAAGGAAGTCATGAAGTCGCACCAAGTGATTAGCTGTAATGGCGAAATTGTGGGATCAGTGGGCCTTACTGACAACAATGATGTTCTTGCCTTGGCATGGACAAAGGGTTTCGGATTTGCTAATTTCAAAACCTTGGAATTTGTGGTGAAGGGCCACTTTCCTATCTTCAATCCTGACCCCGAATTGCGTTTAAACGACGGGATTATCGATAACGAGGGGAATTTCTGGGTAGGGGCGATGGATAAACATATCGGTAGTATCGCCAGTGGCAAGTCTAAGTTGTTTAGAGTAAACAAAGATTTATCCGTGGACAAAATCTTAGATGACGTTCAGCTCTCCAACGGGATTAACTTCTACACTGATAAATCGGGGAAGCAAAGTCTCTTCTACACCGACACGCTCACGTTAACCCTCTGGAAATTCGACTACGATCCTGCCACCGGGCAAGTTTCTAATCGCACCCCGCACATTGTGATCACCGATCATTTCCCAAAAGAGTCCCTTCCGGGGTTGGACGGGTTCTCGCTCACCGAGGACGGTCACATTTACACCGCAGTTTGGGGGCTGAATAGGGTGTGCCATTTTGATGAGAATGCCAAGTTGGTGGAGGAGTTTGTCTTCCCTGCTGCCAGGGTTAGTTCGTGTTCGTTTATGGGGCCAGAGCGCAACGAGTTGTTTGTCACCACAGCAAGCTCCAAGTTACCGGCGGAGGATGGTGTTAAGGACACCGATGAAGATTTAGGGGGCGCTTGTTTCAGAATCAAGTTGGATGGGGTTAAGGGCCAGTTAAAGGATGCCAAGTGGGGTGGCAAGATCGACGTCTAATTTGGTTTTGGTTCTAGCTACTTCAAAGGAAGGGCCAGTAGCATTCCGCCCACGATTCTAGTGAAATACCACTGGTATCTTTTTATCACTTTTTCACATGTAGGGTTTATATTTGAGTCGGGATAAACCAACAGGGAATATTCGAATCTCTGCGCCAATGGTCAGGAATATCCCTGCATTATTTAATCAGAGCCTGCCTGAACAAATGTTCTAAGCTTACAAATTACTACGTTCTGACGGTTATAATATCACATCTTGTCGTTAGTCCATTACACATTCGCCTAGGCAAACCTCTTTTCCTTTTCAGTCTTCAACTTTTGCTTCAATTCTGAAACCTCCTCTCTCTTGGTGTTGTAGTCGACGGTGATCTGGTTGAATGGGTTCTCCGGCGACTTCTCAAACTCCTTGTGCACCAATTGTTTCACCTGCTGTAATCTCAAGCCTGGGTGCTCCTTTCTCAACTCTGGGACTCTGGTCTCCTCGTATGCAGCGTACGCGGCCTTGTATCTTCTCTCCGGGTGTCTGTCGATGTCCTTGGCGCTGAAGCCACCGTTGGTGGTGGTGGCCAAGGTAAGCGCGTCCAAAGCGTCTTCAATACCGGTGGCGCTGATCGAACCAACCTTGCTGAAATCCATAAAATCGTCAATTTTGCCGGTCTTCTTGGCGGCAACCTTGGCGGCACCTCTGCCCTTGGCCGATGGCTTGGATGGCAAGGAGTCTTCCTCTTCCTTCAAGGCAGCATCCCTCTCGGCCTTCTTACGGGCAGCCTCAGCCTTCTTTTCAGCTTCATCTTCCCTCTTCTTGTTGCCCTTCTTGCTACCCTTGGACCAGTCTTCTTCTTCCAGGGCTTGCACCTTAGCGTCTTCTTCCGCACGCTTCTTGTTGGCGGTTTCGGCCTTTCTGGCATTACCAGCAGCCTTCTTGGAGTTCTCAGCGGGAGCCTTCTTAGCCATTGCAATTAGTTGTGAAAAGGAAGAAGAAGGCGGGTGTGTCTAGTCAAGCCGCTGTCTCAGATATCTCCGACGTCACAGGTTTTCCGCCTGCGTGAGCTCTACACAGGATAGCTCCTCCCCCGTCATAATGCTCTACACGCAGGATATTTATTCAACATTACATTTACACACAGGATATCAATACATACAGGATAATCCATATCCAATTGTCATGGGGTTTTTCGTTGCCACTCCACTATACGGTGCTTTGAACAGGCGCACTACCATATGGAGCATGCATTTTTCAACTGATTTGCACCATCCACAAACACACAAAGTACCAGTTTACTACCATCCACGCTATTAAAATGTTCAGGGCCGCTACCAGATTTGCCAGATTGGCAGTGCCAATGGCTGCTCGTCCAGCCTTACCATTGAGAACTGCCTTAGTACAGAGACGTGCCCTCTCCGAGGGCAAGAAAGGCGTTTCTGAGTTCGCCGAGATGGTCAAGAACAGTCCAGAGGTGATGTCCAAGTTGGTTGAGTTGAGACGCTTCATGTCCGACAAGGGCTATGATACCTTGGAGTTCAACAAGTCCACCTTGATGAAGATGATGATGGACGGCGAGATCAGAAGCAAGTTGCAAGAGGTTGCTGGCGAGTTGGAAAAGACCGGCATGGACCCAACTCAGTTTGACTTTAAGGAATTGTACAAGAACTTGAAGGAGTAGAGGTGTACGAAGGCCCGAAGGAGTGGGAAGCTTGAGCGCTCAGTACGTTTGTGTGATTTGTACGAATAGAAGGATATTTATTGGCGATGGCGGGATGTAGGTTATTTTGAACTTGTATCAACTCTAGTTGGTATGGGTAAATCCGTGAGGAAGAATTATGGAATTAAAAGGAGCTTGATTAGAGCCAAAACTGTTTCTCAGGAATGAGGCATGGAAGGCTGCGGCATTGTTTGGTGCGACTGTGAGCACAGACTCTGGAGACGATCATTATTAGGGAAAACTGACAAACATCCGCGACGCAACGGTTTACCTACACTTCAATCACCCTCTCTGGCTCTTTCAATAGAAAAAAAAAGGCAGTAAGGGCAACAAGGTAATCCTTCGCTACCCGTTGCGTTATTTTAAAAAATCAGGAGCGGGTTCTTCTAATCATAAGCTTCAGCATAATACCAAGTGCTAGTGGGCACTGAGAGATATTTACCTTTAACTTTTAGCATTTCGAGACAACATGCCGTGTGTTTTCCCAATTCCCCTTATCCAAACAAACTTGTAGGCGTTGTCATATTGCCGTGTATGCACAGTTAATACTTTCGGTTGACCAAAAAGCATTCATTCATAGAGATTTGCTCTCAGATATAATGAATATTGCCAAGTGCCATGGTATTCCAGACGTCTCTTATTTTGTGCAGATTTTACCAATTACCTAGTGCGTGAATTGGTATTTTAATATACCCTCTGGCTAGATCACCCTAATCTCTACAGCATCCGCACCCTCCTCTTTTTTCAGACATCCCTTCTCATAAAATCTACCCTATAACCAACGAATAGAAATCTTCTTTAGCCTAATTTACCTCTACGTCTCTCTCTCGGCAAACGACTGAATCATACCGACCTCTGTCTCCTCGTACTCCCTGAGCTCAACCTTGCCATCCTCAACAAACGTATTGCCCTGGATGAACAATTTTCTTGGCAACCTTTTGTTGAGTACCGCGTCTCTATACTTGTCCATACCGTGAGCCTTCACGTCGGTCATGCCAGTGAAGAACTTCACACCTTCAACCACATCAGCGGTGGCTTTATAGGTGTGCAACTTGCGCAAGAACTCGCCGACTGCCTCGTGTCCCACGGTCTCAATCTTGCTTTCATCCAATCTAATCATCAAGTCAGAGAAATCTGCCTCCTTCGTCTCCAACTGCACGAAACCGGCTTGGACAAACACCCGGAGAATCGCATAGCGGGCCTGCATGTGCGGCTGGCCCCATTTGCCGCTCTTTGGATCCCAGAACTGCAACGCACACAACCCCGCGCGCGCCATGAGCAAGAAGCCCACGTGGATGATCTTTTTCTGCTCAGCTTCGTCGGTGATACCGAACACCGTCAACAAGCTGTGATTGGTGATCAAGTACATTGCCACCGACTCCGCACGGCATTCTTCGAACGCACCGCTGGTGGAACCAAACACGGAGCCCCATGTCTCGCCCGGCTTGTACCAGGTAGCGGGGTCTACCACGGCCTTGTCAAAGTTGAAAACGCCTGGAGCAGTTTCCTGAAGCAACTTTCCCGACCCATGACCTAACAACTCGTGGATTCCCACCTGGACCTCGAACGACTCGTCGCTATACTTTTTGAACTCTGCCTGGAGGGAGTCGTCGACAAAGGTGATCTTTTCGATGCTACTGGTCTTGGCGCTCAAGATATTGCCCAAAGACACGTTCTTGAACCCGTAGTTCAATCTGACGTCGTCATAGTTCGGGATGTTGATCCCTGCAGGAATCCCGCTGCCAGCGAAGGTCATCACTTCGAGGGAAGTGAAGTCTGGGGGAGTAAACGTATCCTTTTCGTACGCCTTGTCCCATGGCAAAGCGGCAATGTAGCGCCCGGCATTTTCCACCAACGCGGTAAATTTGGCCGTGCGCTGCTTGTTCACCATCGCGACCAAGCCCTCCCATTCACCTCTAACCCCGGATGGGTCACGGTAGGTCTCAATGAACCCGATATTAGTCTCAACCTGTGGGCCCAAGTCCTTGACCCACTGGACCTGTGACTCCTTGTGCGCCGCCATGGAGCCCGTCTTGAAGGACTCAACATACGCCGTGACCATCGCCTTCTGGGTATCGTTAGCAGCGTGCTTTGCGGCTTCGGTAAGCGCGGCCGCAATCTGGGCAAACTCTGACGCGTGGTCACCGAACTGGAAGGTTATAGTAATGCCCTTGGCCTCGATATCCTTGTAGAGCGATACGGTGTCAGCAGAGGCCACGTGAACCGTGAAGGCGTTGGCGGCGGTCTTGGAGACACGAGTGTTCTCTGGCATGATGCCCTGGTCAGCGAGCAAACGATTGACGGTCTCAATTTCTGTCTGGGTGATGGCCTGGCCCGGATAGTAGCTCGAAACGTGGCCCTTATCAGTCCAGCCCAAAAGCACGTTCTCTTGGGTTAACGAGTAGAGCGCGGTGCGCACCTTCGCGAAGCGTGCGGAGATGTCGGCGTCGGCAATTCCGTCAATGAAGCTCTGGAACTCTTCTGGAGAGAGTCTTGGGATATACTTGACGTCACCGAAGGACTTGTAGTTGCCCAAATTGGACAAAAACTGCGCGGCATACTCGAGGTATTGCTTGGCAGCGATGGAATCGGCGTACTTGCCATCGACAGCCCTGTGGATGGCCAAGATCAAGTCGTAGATGTCGTTGCTCTCAGGCGAAACCGAGCGGAGCACCGCACGCGTCCCCCAGTGGGACGCCTTGGACATGTAATGTGCGTAGAGCTGTTCGGTGGCGGACAATTCTGCAAAGTGGGCCTTTGCGGACAAGTTGACGATAGGAGCGCCTGCATCGGCGAGGTAAGTGGATGTATTGGCAATGGCGGACATGTTAAGGAGGATATCGAGACTAGAGAGAAAAAAAGTGGGGGAAGGGAGTTATATAATATGAAGGCAAACCGAGCCAATGGTAAATGGTCGGAGGCATATGGGGCCGTATGTGTAGGAGGCACAGGGCCGTGCAGGATAGAGCGGGAACCGCCATAAAAGAGCTCGAGCCAAGAGCACCTCTTGATGAACTATACTCCCAAAAGGTCCGGAGGTAATTATATTTAAGGCAATAATTTGATTCTTATTACTTAGAAGACTCAGCCAGTTTATCTCGGTTCGGGCTTTGTATTAGTGGGTTATTGATATCGAAGTTTTAAGTGGGCTGGCGTAGCACGGCTTGAATGAAGGGAGTGGCATCCTTCTATATGAGGATTAATTCAATATTATTTTAGACCCTGAAGGCATCGTCTCGAGGAAGTGTTATTAAAACCCCCAGTGAAGATTTGAAATTTCCATTTGGTTTGCACCGTATATTCCAAGTTATAATTCAGCTTAATGGATTTAGAGGGTATCCGTTAATGTATAAGCGAAGCACAACTTCGAGCAGACCTAAAGCGTCTCTTATTTCATGGTTCAGAGCTTATATTAGCGCCGAAACTATCCATTGAATATCCAGAACTCTAATTAGAGCTTTTCCGGCGAGTAGTGGTAGTATGCGACGAATGTGGCTTCTGAATGCTTTATATAAACAACCTTAACCAGAGTTTCTCTGGATTTCCTACCGAACCTCCGTAATATTCGACTTTGGGAGCCTGAGTGCGTAGTGTCGTTAATTGCTTTGTATGAGCTCAGTCTCGTCTAAGTGTGAGGCTTTATAAAGCCTGCCGAAACTATTTTATCAGTTTATTTGTATGGAATGTCAATGCCGACAATGTAGCGGTCTATGGCAACACCAAGGTCCCCACTGGTAATTCCATCTTTTTAATGTCAAACCAAATACTCAGCGCCTGTATGTAACAGGCCGCAGACGATACGTTGACCCCTCTTTACGCGCCCATATCCCCGACAGTTTCAAATTTTCATAGTATAAAGACAGAAAGTATCATGAAGGACGATATTATAGCTTTAAATGCCCGTAATAGTTTTTGCAACGTAAATGTATCGATATTCGCTAGTACGTACTGCCAACGTCAGATTTTTCTATGCAACCAGATGCATGTCTGGTGGCGATAGGGAGGCCCCTGGTCGATGGTAGAGCGCAGCCGCACACGCCTGTTAAACCAGTAGTGCCAAGAGATTGAACCACGTACCGGGCCCGAATCGTTTTACACACCAGTAGATGATAACACAGTATAAAAGCGGAAGTTTATTCAACATTTCACCGCCGTGAACAACCATAAACCTTGGCTTTTAGACCCTACTCTGTCAGATCTAGGCATCTATAAACTCCCGAAAACTACAATCCGGAATCGCCAACTAGTACTGGGGGTATACTTGTAGACAGTAGAGTGTGACCGGTCTCCCACCCACCACTGGCATGTACCCCGATGACCTATTCAACTTTCCCCTAAAAGTAGATCCTCTCGTATGCAGCAGGAGTATCCCTGATTGACCAGCCGAAAATTTGGCCTCGTGTACAGTTCCTCTACCATCCGATTATCGTGTAAAGTTCTGCTTTGGTAAACAAAAAGATAACCCATCATACCCCGATGGCCGCTTCACTTTAAACCCTTTTCCACGTTTTATTTATATAAACATTCCCATAGGTTTTAGGTTTGATTGTGACACAATCCAGAGATACATGGAACAGCTAGTTCACGAGCCGGAACGCCCATTACCGCCCCCGCAGATTGGTAGACATAGATAGCAAGCACGTCATTAAAATTATATCCCGTGCCAAATCTGGTGTATTAGTCATAGCTTATGGAACCTTCCATATCTCCGCCCTCTCCGGATGGCAGCGCCACGTCACGTTATGAATATTCTTTTCCACCTAGCAACTACGCCCAGGGCGTCTACGCCACGCTCAGCTTTACCGAGTTGACAAATCCCAAACCGTAAACTTTCCTGATCGTCGGATGGGGTTATGGCGAAATTGCTTTTCCCGCGGCGCTGATTTGTAAGGCCTTGGGCTCTGTGCAGGCATTCCATTTTCCCATTTCTTTTTCTCGTTTGTGCTTTGTCTTTCGCAAGATACAAATTTACACCCACCACATACACACTATACCCTAGGGGCCACTATACCTATCCACAAACAAGCAAACAAACATGTCATCCACCGCCTCCGCATCCATCATCCTCTCACGACAGTTCCGGGACTTGACGAACCCCAAGAAGGCACATCCGTGTTTCCACATCGAACTTGAGAATGACAACATCTTCCTCTGGAACATCGGCGTTATGGTGTTGAACGAAGACTCCATTTACCACGGTGGGTTCTTCAAAGCGCAAATGAAGTTCCCTGCAGACTATCCGTTTTCCCCGCCTACGTTCCGCTTCACGCCCGCCATCTACCACCCCAACGTGTATCGCGATGGCCGCCTCTGCATCTCCATCCTCCACCAGCTGGGCGACCCACACTCGGATGAGCCAGACTCCGAAACATGGTCCCCAGCGCAGCTGGTAGAGACCGTGTTGATCTCCATCGTGTCTCTCCTTGAGGACCCGAACACCGCATCGCCAGCCAATGTGGACGCCGCCATTGAATGGCGCAAGAACAAAGAGAAGTACAACGCCCGTATCAAACAGGAGGTGTTACGGTCAATGCAGGACATCCCTGAGGGCTTTGTGATGCCGAGTTTGAAGAACTTGGAGCTGGTCCAGTCCACCGTGGCCACCCAGGAACACCCAGAGGACATTGTTGATGACGACTTCTGGCTCGAGAGCGAGGAGGAGGAGGAAGACGACTACGATGATGATGTCGAGAGCTTGATGGACGAGGATGAACACGACCACAACGACATGGAGATGGATGAGGACGGAGAGATCGACGAAGAGGTCACCAAGTAGTACAGATGTAATATACGCGTTAATGAAAATATATATAAAAAAACGATGTAAGAGCTAAAGGCTGTGGCAGGTGATTTTAGCCAAGGAACGGTGTGTGCCGATAAGATGGGCTTGGAGTTTCAAGAGGTGGAATCCATTGGTACGGCGAATGGGCCATGGTTAACGGAAGTTTGCGACAGTGCAGGGGAGCATAGTCCGGCTGGTACCTGTGAGTCCCAGCAAGACCTTGACTGATAACTTACAAGAGGCTAGCATTGAATAATGCACAACGAGGATGCAATTAGCTTGTTATAGAAAGGTATCTAAACAGAGATGCCGGGAACATAATTACTCACGTTTGTCAATCGGCCCTTGTAAAAAAAAAAAAACTTGATTTATGGTTAAATCTTGTCACCTTTGATTTTTAACCCATTCCTAGGTGACTATAGCAGTGTGGGACGATGATTACGGAGTTATATTAAAACATATCGAGCTCAGGCAAAGGTATTGATAAATGGATGCAGCCGGAGTTGGTTCATTGGAGCAGTTTAACCATGTAATATCTCAGATATTGCTCTCGGAAGGAAATACTTTGGGCTCGGCCTATATTTTTATGCTTTTACGTCTGCAACAACAGTCTTGTATTACGATATATTGAGGGACAATGTGTCCTAGCCGTGAAACGCGGGCGAGACTTCTAGATACTTCCTGGTCTCGAGACTTAGGACGGACATTTGGCCGGACACTGGTAGCACTGGAATACTTGTCTCGGTGAATCTGCAAGCTCCACAATAAACTCTATAACTCATCACTATGGCACATTTCACTGAGGTGAAAATCTGGGTTCTACCATTGGAAACCTTTCAAACCTTCTTTTAGAACTGTGTTCAACTTTTCTAACTTGGTAATGGCAAAGCCCTTGGGGAAATCCTTGGCAATTACCATGAGTGTGAACAAACCATCCTGGCTAATCCGGCGTAACAAGAGTGTGTAAGAGTCAATGTCCAACTCCATGAACTCCGTCAGTTCCTGCTTTTTGAAGGCATCCATCACAAAAATCGCATAGATCTTCAAGTCATCTTTGAGAAGAGTGGTGATTTCAGAGGGAGAGACAGAGGGTGAGGGTGGGGCGCTGGGAGAGAAGTAGGAACAGATGAGCTCACCTTCGTTGGTGATCAAAGAGATGGCTAAGGGCGAGGCAGATGTGGTGGCGGACGGCACCAAGAGCAGTGACTGGGATAAAGATTGGGTAAGCAATCTCGATAGACTTTTGGACTGGAGCATTGTTGGGGGTTCTGGAATGCAACTCGTGATGAGAGCAGAAGTGTGAATGTAGATGTCTTGATAAGATATTCTCCGAGCAAAAAGCTCGGGCGTATGTGTGCAAACCGTTCTAATGCGGCGTCCAGGATGAGCCCAGCTGAGACCAAAGTGAATCATTTCCGTAATTCACGTAATTGTCCATTCTTTTCCAGGGCGAGAAAATGGTAAGGGATACCAGCATTTGCGTTAACCTCCACCGTGATCATTACAAGGATGAATTTTCCGATTTAACGCCCAAACAGAGAATCGGAATTTCTTAAAGCTGAAATTGGTATCTGTAGTAGGCGTGTAGCTGTCATGTGGTTGGGATCAATACTCTATATTAGGAGGTCGATCCCTCCCTCCTTTATCCTATATACATTATAGAGGTAACCAGTATTACTTATTACTATAAGTAGATATTCTACCCTTGAGGTAGAGATATACCACTGTATCCATAGTGAACTTAAAGTGCACTTAAAAACATAAGGTTCGGTTAGGGTGACTAGATCGCTGTGTAATGCCAAAATATCCCTTAGTTTTCAAATATCTTCGCTTGACCATTTTCTATCCAAATTCGCAACGATTCCGCATTAAGCGATATATTGGCAGGCGGTCGAAAAGTTTCCGCCGTGCAGTAGGCTGAAATGCGCCCACCTGCCGGACTCAAGATCAACCCTGATCGTACTAGTGGAGCGTATTCAACTCACTTGTGTCAAACGAGAGAATGATCTGAGCTTTAGACCTACGTAGCACTCTATTCCCCGTAACTAGGTACTCCAGTACCCACCCTAAGCCCACGATGCCCTCATCTCCTTGGTCCGGATTAGGGTATATTCCTGGTAAAATCCCCCTACCAACCCCCTTACCCCGCTCCCGCGGCGTCATCCCATTCGGAACCTTTCTTCCCTGCAGGGCATCTCAGCTTCGGACACGTAGCACCAACCGGAAGATATAGGCGCTGCCGCTATACCAGGGTGGCCCGATTTGCGGCACACGACCTTCCTCCCTCTTTCATACTCGTTTGGTATGCCCGAAACTTTACTTGGTCAACCGCCGATAAAAATAAAAAAAATGCCTCGTTTTGTGGTCTCTTCTGTCCTCTTTCCAACTTTCACAAGTCTCACACTTCTATCTCTCTGTTGCCCGTGTTTCCCAACACTTTCTGTATTACCGGTCCCAATATTATGTCTTCTGCCGCCGCTGCTATGTTGGCTGCTCGCGCCGCCGCCGAGCACGCCCCATCCTCTGCTACCACCCTCGACGACTTGGAGCTCCACTACTCCGATGACGAACTCCACTATGACGAAACTGCCCCTACCTCCGCTGCCTCCACCCCTGTGGGCATCCGCGACGAATCTGCCTTCCCAAGTTTGGGTAATGGAAATGCCGCCGCTCCATCCCCAGCCAAGTGGGGCCCAGGGATGAAGGTCTCCGCCGCTCCAGTCCAGTCCGTCAGTGCCAAGAAGACCACCTCTTCTGGCACTATCCAGTCCAAGTTTGAAATTCCGTTGAGCCAGTTGCAGCCATACCAGCCACCGCAGCATACCGACGTCCTCAAGGTTATCCAGCAGCAGTGCCAAGTCTCTATCGAGGTCAGCACCATTAACAAGTTGCAGTTGAAATCCTACTTGATCAAGGGGTTGGCTGCCAATGTCGAAAAGGCCAAGAAGCAGATGGGCGCCAAGCTCATCAAGCCTTCCAAGGTTGTGTTTTCTGTCCCAGCCAAATGCAAGGGGGTTATCATCGGGCCTAAGGGTAAGACTTTGAAGGCTGTTGAAGCCGACTATGGCGTCAGGATCGACATCTTGGATGACAACGAGTCTTCCCCTGAAGCCGAACCTGTCTCCGAAGATCCGTTCGCAGTCACCTCCGGGATCGAAATCTCCGGGTCTCCTTCCGCGTGCAAGGATGCTCAGGCCAAGATCCTCCGTATTGTCGACGAGCACCTTTCCAATGTCACCGTCAAGTTTGACGTCGCCGAGGCCGACCAGTTTTTGTTGCCGTTCTTGGAACAGCAGCAGAAGACCGAGACCACCAAGGGCGTCGAAGCCACCTTCGGCAAGACCGCCGTGTTCCTTTCCGGGGCCCACAGATTGATCAACGACCTCAAGGTCCAAATCTCTGAGAAACTTGCGGCGTTGCGCTCCGACATTCACACCACCACGATCAAGTTGCCACAGGCGTTGCAGGGCTTTGCTGACTCGGAGGCGCTCTGGAAAGACTACCAGGTGGTTATCGACGAGTCTAAGGCGACTGCCACCACCCTCACACTTGTGGGGCTCCAGTCGAACTTGGTCAAGTGCGAACGTGAAGCTTTGTCCCAGTTGCCTTTGTTGTACAAGGGTGTCGTGTTGGACATTTCCAAGGCCCACGGCGGTGACTTACAGCACAACAACTTAGTTTTCCAGTACTTGAAGGAGCAGGGCTTCTTCAAGCAGTTGGTGGCCAGCACCGGCATCAAGTTACACTACGACGATGTCATCGAGAACCCAACCGCCATCAAGATCACCTTTATCTACAAGTCGGATGATGCGGACGCGGCCCAGGCTGTCTCTCAGGTCAGATCCACCATTATTGCCAAGGTCAACGAGTTGACCGGCGACAAGGTCAAGCTCGTGGAGTCCATCCATCCGTTTGTCCTCACCGGCGCTGCTAACAAGAAGATTACTGAGCACTTGGTCGCCATCGAGGACGTCCAGCACTACATCCACCAGCAACTGCTCTATGTTGTGTACGCTCCTGTCAACGAGGAGGAATTCGCGCCAACCGGGGCAGAGATTTCCTCCAAATTGGCCGCCGCCATTTCTGCGCTTGCTCCGTTGGTTGAGCAGTCGCAATTGGTCGAATCTGTCACTGTCGAGGTTGCTCCTGCCACCCAAGACAACGCCTTGACTCCACAGGTCCAGCGCATGTTGTTGTCTCTCGTCGAGCCAGCCTCCACCGAGTTGCAGTTGCACGTGCCGAAGCCAGGCAAGGTCACTCTTGTTGGTTACAAGAAGTCCACCAGCGTTGTTAGTGCGCAGTTGGAGAAGATTGCCGGGGAATACAAGGAATCTGGCTTGGAGTACACCCACAAGCTCAATTTCCCTAGCAACTTGTTGGGCAGATTAGTCGGTAGCAAGGGCTCTTTCTTGAAGGACTTGGAGACCGACTTTGGGTGCCGCATTCAGACCGGTGACTCCGGCAGCGACTCCGCTGAAATTACCCTCGTTGGATTGAAGTTTGCTACCCAGCAGTTGGCCACCAAGATCCAGCAGTTGACCAAGAAGTGGGCCGACGAGAGTGTAAGCACCATCCAGGCCAACTCCAAGTTCCACGGCCAGATGATTGGTGGCCACGGTGCCAACTTGCACAAGTTGGAGGAGAAATATGGTGTCAAGATCAAGTTCCCAAGCGCCAACTCCGCCAGCTCGGAGATTACTATCAAGGGCCCTTCCAAGGGCGTTAACAAGGCTACCGAGGAATTGTCTGAGTTGTTACTGTTCATCAAGACCCACAGCTTCGAAAAGAGCCTCACGGTCAAGCAAGCCTACGTTTCCCGTATCATCGGTAAGGGTGGTGAGAAGTTAAGAGATATCATGGCCGACACTGGTGTCGAGATTGATGTGCAGAGAGACGCCGGCAAGTCCGGTGAGGTTGAGTTGCAGATCACCGGTTCCCAGCAGGGGATCAAACAGGCAGAGCAGCAGATCAATGAGATTGTGGGCACCTTGGAGAACTACAAGACCGTTGAGTTGGCTATTGCCCCTGAATTCTATAAGTTGATTATTGGACAGCAGGGCTCCACCATGAGAGCCATCATGGAGGCCGCTCCAGGCTACTACGACCTCTCCGCTCCAGATGCTAGAAGATTGTTGACCATTCCAAAGGGCGAGGCGGCCGGGCCAGTTGTCGTCCAGGGTCCTTCTCAGACCGTGGACTACGTTGTAGTTGAGGTTAACAAGTTGGTGGACGAAAGAAAGAACGCCGTCACGGAGGAGTACCCGTTGCTTAAGAGCAAGCACAGATTGTTGATCGGTTTCCAGGGCTTCACCAGACGCGACCTTGAAAAGGAGTTTTCCTGTCAGGTGAATATCCCAAGAGTCGGCGATAAGAAGGACAGTATTACCTTGTCTGGCCAGCAAGAAAACTTGGACAAATTGAAGGTCAAGATCGCTGAGTTGACCAAAGATGACTGGCAGTTCGAGTTGGAGGTGCCTCAGCACATCCACGCCTTAATTTCCGATAAAGGTAAGCTTTTCAGCACCTTGAGAAGCGACTTCGGGGCCGAGGTCAGCCACGGTGAAAAGTCCAAGAGCGCCAAGAAGCAGGCGCTGTTGCCACCTGCTCCAGCTGACTTGGAGTTGAACCAGTTCCAGGTAGTTGAACGCGCTGCCGAAGACACCGAGTCTGTGTTGATTCCATACAGAATCAAGTCCAAGTCCGCTGCCAACTCTGAAAAGGCCGCCAAGTACGTGGAAGCCCAGATTGCTTTGTTGCAACAGGCTGACCACGACGCATGGTTCAAGACCAGGCCGTCTGTTATGAACAGAATTGTTGGTGCTCGTGGTGAAACTGTCAACGGGATCAGAGAAAAGTCCCTGTGTTTCATCGTTGTTCCAAAGGCCACCGATGCCGATGCTGACGTTGTCTACTTGAGAGGCACCGTTGAGGGCTTGAAGGTTGCCGAGAAGGAGTTGAAGGCTGTTGTTGCTTAGGCGTCCATATATACTTTATCATTTGCGATGCCGCTCGTGTTTATATCAAACAGGTTGTTATTTTATTTCCGTGTGGACTGAGAGGACCCCAAGTGGCCCGAACAGTCACTAGGCTGTACACTCAACTATGTAATCTCAAGGCTATATCATAAATAACGTTTGTGGAGCGCATCTGTTTGAATGTTAGGCGAGCTATTATCTACCGGGTCCTTCTAATTGACTTTCAGAGATTAGCTCACTTGGTCCGTTGGGAGATATCAGGGGTCTGCACGACATATACTCCCCGGGGTTCAGCACACCATCCCCGTGTTCTGGGCTACATCTGACTCTATTGCGGGTGTAATTTCGAGGGGCGCTCACAGACGTACTCGTTTAAAAGACATCCGTTTTGAGATCTCGATAGCCATTGTAGACTGTTAGATGAGGAGTATTATCTTTGTAATTTCCAAACACTTACTATATAAGTCCACACTCGTGCGTCTTAATTATAAAAGATATCTCCGTTAATGCATTGCTTACCATATCTCTTTGTAAGGATGGTTCCTTGGTTCCGCTAGGTCAAAACCTATTAGCAATGATTGAAAATTTTGCACCAAGCTCAAAGATTAAGACCAAGCTAGGTTCCGTAGATGGTGATTATACACCTGTTGAGCAATCCCACTTCGTCGGTTGGCCCTTCCTAGGATCACTTTCGTAGCAGCAATAGGTCACGTGGCATATCTCCTATCGCTTAAAAACGAAAAATGAGTGAGTTACGATCCCGATTAGTGGAAAAACTTTTAAGCGCGACGTCATTTCCCGTTTGGGATGAAAGTTCCTGGTGACTCCTTCCTCTCGGCTGAACTAATACCAGACAACTGTGTATACACGATGTGTCTATCATGTAACGCTCTGTAGCTGATTCATGCGACGATTGCACTTCGTTATGCCAGTAACATCGAATAGCGGGTCTACATTTAGTGTTATCAAATGATAATATTATTAACAGCAACTGCTGTATGGATATACCAAAAACCGTGAAAACAAAGACCGTGAAAACAAAACCCCCAAAACCGTGAAAAGAGAAATTATAAGCTACTACACAGTAGTGATGACAAATCTGGTGGCAACCGGCGAAGCACGCGGCTTCACATCGTTCAATAAATTGCAAATGTCCATCTTATTGTCGTTGCGCATATGCATAATCAGACCGGTGGATAACGCAAGGGTGGTCGCAGCCAAGGAGGAGCTCACAGCCAGCGACCCTTTTGGAGACTTGGCCACACGGCTCCCGCTAGTTTTAGCTCTCACCCCGCAGCTTCCAGAAACGTTGAGTGCAGCCTTAGCCACAGTCGCTCCCTGGCCAACAACACAGGTGTTAAGCTCCACAGCTCTGGTGTTGGTTTCCGGCCAGGAACAGTCAAGAAAGTTGCGAATGCAACCGGTACACTTCCCAGAAACAGGATCGATATGTTCGTCGCACTTCTTCTTGCGCTGGCGGCACGTGAAACACCCGGTCTTGGTGCGCTTCTTTGGTTTGCTATCGTCTTCCTTGTCTCCCTTTTCAGCCGCAGGTAACGGACTAGCCGGACATGAGGAATGGCACGTGATTTGGGGAGAGTGTGGCGGAGTGTATAACTGGGTGTTGAAAGAGTTCATCTTAGGAGAAGATGGTGGGGTCGCAGATTTTGGAGCTAAGACTCTGGGGGTCTCCACGGAGGTTAAGCTGAAAACCTGCTGGTATGATTTGTAGTTCATTACGGCGTGCAGTAGTAAGGAAATATGGCGTGGGTTGAGATAACTGCGTATCAAGTATATAGTTATAGATGAATGAAATGAAAACACTCAAGCTAGCTCTGGGACTATAGTTGTATATATACTTTTCAGTTAAGGGCATGATACGGACCTGGCGCCTCGCGCTATTTTTTTTTTTGGCTTGTGACAAATACAGAAGGCAATTCCATACCGAGACATATTAAAATAGAATTTGCGTAGGTCCACATGTAAGAAAAACAGGCTGAAAATGGAATTGCCTCAAAAAGGGTATTGAAAGCGAATATTTTCGTATGCGTATGGAAAGCTACAGCGAAGGATGTCTCCGAGACGGCAACTGCGAGCACGCGCTCCTACCAGTTTGGACCCAAAACGGAAATGCAGACAGAACAAGCACGATTAAGCGCGGTGTGGGCAATGCGCATTGAGAAACAGAATGCGAGAAAAAGAAAAAATGCGGGGCAGTAACAATCACGTGTGCATTACTTTGAAATTAAGAGCCACACAACTGGCAGGGATGCTCTTTACAAAAAGACTAAATATATGACTCATTACCATATTTCGCAAAACATGGCTGCTATCTAGTAGATCAGATTTGGTATGTGGCAGCCTATTATTTCGATATATAGAGTGGACTGGCCTAAGGTCTTTCACCATGACTCATCTGATTTCGGCGCAGTAATACCTCTCTGACGGCAAATTCACGCAGACGCGAGAAAAAAAAAATCTCGATCCAGAAACGGACACCACGAAATCGCTGTTTTCAGTAGTAGACTGCGAGATCGACAGTTATTATCCAAAAGCAGGCGACTCTCTGTCGCCCTCTGCACCTTGTCTCTCTCCCTTGTCACATTCGGAGCGTTGAACATACTACCCGCATAATAGGCGAAATGTTTGACAGATTTCGGGCTTAAAACATGCGTCTTCGTTCATGTGGTGTGGCCGTTGAATCGGCTTCGGAGGTTTACGTGGTAAGGATGATTTGCAGGAGTTGGCAGAGAAATTGTAGTGCCTCGCACGGAAATGGGAAGAAATAGCGGTATCGGGGTTATCATTACCGAGCACGATCTGGGCAGATTTCTCTTAAGGTTGGCAGTTTTTCATGTGCTGAGTCAACAATTTCTCCTTAGCATCTGGCTTGGCAACATTTGTAGAAAATACGGAGCTATTAACATACTCAATTGACCAATTTCCAATAGTAAGGAATTTGGTTTAACCGTCAGATGGACAAATTTTGGAGTTTGATCGGCTGCAAATGGAATTCATAATTGGTATACAGGTTATCGCTCACCCCTGTCAGAGTTTAAGGGAACTTGAAATTCTATTACTTGATAGTGTCTCTTGTAGTAACAATTTCCATACGTTAAGATATAAATTTCTTTAAAAGTTGTTTTATTAAACAATTAATGCTAATTAAATGAGAAATGGGAAATTTACTTACATATACACTAAATCCTTTGCGGGAACCTTCACGGCCTATGAAAATCTAGAAATGATTAGGTGTATGATTGGGTGTATAAATTCACCTACAAATCCTCATTTCCTGAGTGATCCGTGAGTCCTATCTTCACTCTTACAACGCTTAATAATCCGGGGAAGAACTCCCTAACCTTGACATGATTTGTTAAACGAGCCAGAGATGGGACATTTTTGTCAATGGTTGTCTACCTGTAAAGTAGCCCATTAACAAAAATCGATGTGACGCACTAACCGTTCCTTTACCTCTGTTTCTAGTACTGCCAACTACTTCGAAGCTCGGATAGAGTCCTGGGGATAACCATTCATAGAAAGAGAAACCCATACAGTGCGTTTGAACAAGGGAATGAAGCTTACTACACAGCGAGGCTGGGGTTCAGCTGATAAGCTGAACACTCAAGGCCCCTTCTATTCAAGAAAGTCCTGCAAGCAAATTGCGTTACTCTCCACAAACAACTTCCCCACACGGCGCTCATTCATTGCACTGATCTGCCTCATCTGCCTCAAATTTGCTTTGATATCGTCCACCATCGCCTCCAAATCGCACTTGCCCCTGATTTTCAACGAGTACAAAATCAACACATTAAGGGCCTTTGCGGTGACGTGTTTCGACTGATCCATCTTCAAACGATCCTTGCTGCATCCGAACACCTCTTTTAACGTTTCGCTCGACTCGGCCAAGAGAGAGGTGAGAATTGTTAGTGGCTCCATGCTGATCTTCGTGTGAAGCGCCTTGTACTTCTGGTACAACTTCTGGCCGTACCTTATCGCCTCCGCCAATGCCTTATCATCCTCTGTATCGCACGCTGCTTGCTGCTTAATCATCTCATAGAGAATCAAGCACTCCACTTGGAAAAATACCAAGCTTGCAAGCTCCTTCAAGTCCGGTGAAAGGTCTGAGGGCTCATCCGAGTCCACCAAGGCGGGGTAATTTAACTCGCAGAACCGCAACGCCATCGACGGTTTATCAGCCAAGATATAATCCATGACGATTTTTCTGTTCGACAAATGCGTGGTAGAGTCGTCAGCCATCTCCATGAGCCTACTAGCATCGTCGGCGCTCAAGTCCTGGAGAAGCGCCCGTGTGGTGGAAAGGTACCCCCGGTTGACCAAAAATGACATCACCATCTGGTTCATGGCGGTGGCGTCAATGGTTTTCTTCTCCACCTTGGCGGCGGTCCGTGCCCGCGCCAACTCCTTGCCAAACTTCCGCTTTTCTTTGGCTGTCTTTGTTAGTGGCTCTGCCGGAACAGCTTTCAAGATGGAGTTATAGATCGTCTCCTGGCTGTGCTTCACGTAGCCCACAATGTCAAAGAGAAAGTCTTTTTCAGCATGGTCCGTCCCTACCTTTGACCCGAAGTTCGTCCGGAGATGCACATTCTCCACGCTCTGTGAGCAGAGCAACATGGGCATCCACTCGTTCGTTTCCTGACCCATGTAGTGCACCGTGTCATCGTCACACACGCCACCGTTCTGGCATTTCACCGAGCATATATGGCGCGGAGTCAAGTCGCGATACTCCTCGGGGATCTCCGCGAAGTTAAACCCGTTGCATGTGATGAGCACAGTGTTGGTGATGAAGTTAAGGCCGAGCCCCACCACGTCGCCCTTCTTGAACACGCACCCACGCGGTAACGAAACCTTCTTGCCCGCACGATTGTAGTACATCGCGTCATTGACTGAAAGCACGAGCGAGTGTGGATTCATGAGCGGCGAGTGGGTCAACGCCGAGAGCGACGGTGCCGCTGTGGTATCATTGAGCACATGTGTCTGGATAAACCCCAAGATGAGATCGTTGTTATTGGCATAGTGCTGGTGAAAGTGGTCACCGCCGTAGTACGCGCGGCTGTTGCGGCCCGAGGCAAACGGGTTCACCAAGTCAAACATGATTTCTGTTTCGAAGTAGAACACCCCGATGTACTGTGAGATACTTGTGTTTGTGTGGATGAACGTGTAGTCACCTGCCACGGAGTCGGTTGAGCCCAGAGACTGCGGGTGGCAGATCGTCACATCCACAAGATTTCTCGTCGGGGAAATAGTCACTCCCGGTGCGCCCTTTTCCCCGTGGTCAGGCTTGACCCAGGTGGTGGGCAAATGGGCAACGTCTTCAAAGGAGCCTCCTCGAACTGCCTTTTTGGACAGCAAGAGCCGAATCTCCTCCAAATCCGTGATCTGCTCATAAACCGTATCTGTCAATTCCGACTCCACCAAGGAGTTTGCGAGACTGCGCAGATGGATGGCCCGATTGTAGAAACCTGGCTCCGAGGGGTGTGTCACAGAAATAGATACGGTGCCATCATCATAGCTGTCATCATCGCCGTCCAAATCTTCTGCATCCAAATCGTTGTCGTCGTCGTCCTCCTCGATTTCGTTGAATATATGATCGTGGTTGGGGTTGTAGCGGTACCCGCGGTTAGACACCCGGCGTTGCAACGGCGGTGGTAAGGTGTCAGCCTTTGCTGCCTCACTGCCGTCCATACGCGGTACGGCCGACGCGCCAAGTCCCAAGAACGGCGTCACTCCGGAGGCCTGCTCCTGAAGAATTGGCGAGAGCATTTCGAGGTAGTCAGGGTTGGCAAGGATGTATTTCTGCGGTGACGTTCCTAAAAGCCCCATGCTACTGAGTTTAATGTTCAAGCGCGCAGCTGCACTATAGCCGGAAGGTGTCGTCGTTTCGCTGGCTAAGGGGGCAGTGGAGGATTGGGCGGCTGTCTTCAAGTCCCGGACGAGCTTCCGCCCGTAAGGGAGGGAAAGAAGGTAATGCGGGATGCGGTTTGTGTGTGAGCTTTCCGTCATGGTGTATTTATGACGGCGTGAGGGGCAGCTGATATAATTTACAGGACTGTGTGAATGTGAGATGACCCGATCACTTTGATTAGGGTTGATTGCTGTAGAGATCCATCCAGTTGTTACGCTGCCGCATGCTGATAAGCCGAATGTTATCACGCACAGAACCAGGACACTGGAGTTCAAGGGCTAGATGTAGTGAAATACAAATCCCTGAATCTCGAACTTTTCCGAAATAGTGTAATGGCTAGCACAGGGCGCTCTCACCTCCCAAATCCGGGTTCGATTCCCGGTTTCGGAGTTGTTTTTTTTCCGTAAAAGAAGTCTTCTATAAGTTTTTTTTTCAATTTCCCCCGAAAAAAAAACTTGTGTTAAGACAGGTGTTGCTCAGTTACCTTTTTGCTTTATTCCTTGCTAGATGGTTATACCCTTGGTGTTCCTATGTCACAATGCATGCCTAAGATTTTAGAGCAAAAACTGAAACGCGTACATTTGTTTGAGCATATGATGGCATTTCCAGCCATAGATCGGCGATCCAGCTTTTAGATCCTCGCGGATAACAGAAAAGTGTACATTGAAATTGTTGGGTCAGTGCAGAACTTTCTGTTCCATAACTACTTGATGTCTGACCTCAATCGAATCGGATACAGGCGGTTTCATGAGTACTCGCCCTATTAGGGCCTCTGCGCCGCATACAGTGATCATAATACCCTAATTGAGATTCATGTATATATACGAACATAGACCACTTACTGAAGGCTCAACTAGACCTCGGCTACTAACGTTTAGTTGTAAACCTTAGCAAACAATACTCCTTGGGCTCAGAATAATTGTGAGCAGCTGCATTTGTTAATCTCGCATGTACCGTTTCTAAAGTGTGGCCTAAATCCTGTCAACTTAAGCTTCTGTACGTTACCAGCCGTACAATTGGAACTACGCAAGAGAAAAGATGGCATCCTACCTTATTGAGCAATATTCGGATCAAAGGCTATTGTAGATTACGTGAGCGAGTTGACTATTGTGTGCCATGTAAAGACCTCTTTGATGGGACTAGCCTCGGTTTGTTCCGGGGAGTCTAAGATCAATCGAGTTCCCCGGACAGTTGAATATTAACAAGGCGGATCATTTTCTCCCATTTAGGTGGACTGTTTTATTCAAGTAAGCTGGGTCGAGGAATAGGATGCACAATGACGATATCAATCGACCTCAATTGTCTTCAGCATACACATGCAGCATGGCTTGCATAATCCTACCTAACAATACCTAGACTATTTTCGAGACAATCATACTTACAACAACGTAAACAGTGCACTCTAGTCTCGGAGCACAGGATTTATTGTTTAGGCCTAAGCCATGATCCATATATAAATGCTTGTAACCCCGGATATTTGGCGACCACCCATCAAGCACGGCCCTCAGCAAACCTCAGAATGTCCGTACTCCTCATCGATCCTACATCAGTGACAGCTATAGCTGTCCCATCATTGGCCATTGATAGAGCCAGTGGAAACGGAACCACCAATGTTTATGCTTGTGCTACAACCATGCTGGGGGGCACCGCGACCAATCCTTGTCAACTTGTTCCTGCCTATGCCACCACGAGCACCCACACCACATCAACAAATGCCAGTGGACATAGTCTATGTAAGCCTCTGTCGTTTACGGTTGCCAACATGGTGTTGGTCTTATTGGTGTTCGTGCTGTGGGGTGTTTATTAGTTGACTCCGACTCAATAACTTACCCCGCTGATGACGGTGATCAGGCGCACTCCTTGTTGAGGCGAGGATGCTGAGCGCGCGTACTGCATGGTATGCTGAGGTATACCTCACCACTGTTTGTCCCTGTCCCCCACTGCCGTGGAAAATTGGGACGTAAAAGAATGCCCACTACTGAAGTGAATGGCATTCTGGAAAGGACAGGCATCTTGCTCACTAAGCCTTGTGACAAGACTGGTTACTCTGAAAACTCTACCGCTGTATAGCTTAACGCGCTTGAGAACCACACTGGGTCCCGTTAGATGTGACCACATCGCGTCAAAAAAGATGGGCTTTTGCATTTATAAAATACTTGGTTATTATCAATGCCATAGTAATCAAATAATAATTAAGGCGTATTATTATGTATCGATATGGGTGTAAGGCGAACGGTTATGCACTAGCTTCCCTTTTTGGACCACTTCGCCCGTTGATCGGATTGGATGGACCAAGCATATATGCATAGGAAATTTAACGAGGCGTCCTAACCCACTTGCCCCAAAAACCAACTTAGACGACCCGAGTATTTGGCTTGTTCAGTAGCCCCCAAAAACCTAATGGTTTTCGTGGATTGTTCGTCTTGGTGGCAGTTCAGTCCGTCAAAGAAAAAGGCGTATATTGTACGGCAGACACCAGGAAACGGCCTTGTATTCCAAAATGGGATGCTAAAAAGGAAGCCTATGGACGAGCCAGGAGTCAACCCCGAGATCTTTCACATGCTAAGTGAACACGCCACCAACTATGCCACATGTCCAATAATTACCGTAGTCGGAGTTCCAGCGTCTGTGGGGGCTTCAGTTCGGGGGTCATTTATTATTCCATCCGCACCAATACTTGTATATCTATATAGATGATGATATAATCGGGTATAATTGATTAATCATTAGATATGAACTAGATATGTAAAGATACAATCAGCCAACCTTGATATAGACCGGTAGACACAGCCCTGTAATAAGTCTGAAGACTGTTACAGAGGTTGAAGCGTTATCGGCGTTTGCGTCCCGTAGCCTCATGTAAGATAGGGTACCTGCGGCACCTTTGCTACAATAGTAAAAAACAAATTTAAATCAAGAGAATATTTTAAGCGTGAGGAGTCACTCCCATAAATAATTTTATGAAATTGTCACACTTGTATCTCGACCCGCCTTGTTCAGCCCTCAGATTTCATTTTGCCAGTTCAGCACTGGCTTCACTCTTGCTGAAAGGCAAGCCTTGATTACACAATCCCGGTAAACGCATGCTGCACTGCATACAGCTTCAAAAACGGCTTCTCTAACTCTAACAATAATGTCAGGATTAAGGAGTTTAAAAACTATATGAGGCACAATGTATAGCTATCAGAATTGGGTGATAGCGTTTATCGGATACTATCCCCTAGCACGTTTAAGACACAAGTGTTACTTCTAATGGACTGAAATGCATATATGGAATCTGGGAAAATTATGTAAGCTGTGGCATATATTTACCTGGAGCGTAGGATATCTATTTTTAGTAGTATACTCGTTGGCTATATAATGTGTATAGGATAAAGGAGAAGAATTCACCCCCTAATATGGGGTGTCGATCCCTACCACGTGATAACAACACACTTACCACGGAAGCAGTCTTCCATATATAGGATATCATCCTGGTTTAATATTTCTTTTGTTTTTAATTATTAAAACCGTATCTTTCGTAGATTGAAGATAAACATGGACCATAATGACTGGCTATAACCCCATTACCAGAAACCTGGCCGATGTTAAAACCCTGACGTCGTTTTTAAGAGAATGAGTATGACCGCACGTGCCTGATTTCCACACAGAGATAGCAATGAGGACTTGGTTCACTAGTACGCCGTGTACTTACGCTAGATGTCGCTAATTAAGGAGTGCATGGTTGCGGAGTTAGTCATTTTTTATAAAGAGTAGATTGGTGTCTTAGTTTTGTTTTTGCTGGGAGATTACGTTTATGCTGGAGACCCTAAGTGGATTAGTATATTCTCTTGCCGGTGACAATTACTAGTGGACAGCATTACCAACCACAGAAGGTTGGTGAAAGTTCCTGAGCCGCAGATATCCTAGACCTGTTTATTATAAGGTTGGTAGGGTCACTCAGGTCTGAGTGGATCGCCAACATCGTACCAGAGCTAGAGAAGCAGTCTCTAAGATTGTACATTGTACAAAGTGTGGCTATCTGGATTGAATGATAGACATCATAGCCCGCTCTCTAGCACGAGCGAAGCAAGAGGGGTTATGTCAAGTGGTGATCCAAACTAAAAGAAACACAGGAATTGATCCGAGTCGATGGAAACACGAGTCGGTTCCAGCGAATTGTATAAGGAAATGGTTTCCCACTTATGATACTCTCTTGGCTTACCATTAATCAGAGTTTGATTCTACAATATCAAGTTGTATGCTAGCCTGCGCCATAAGTGGCACTTGCGTTCATTCAGATTAAGGGTGAAATCCCAAAGTCCGAATGTTGGAATGACGTTCCCGAATCCAGAAATATTATGTTCGTGATCCACCAGGACCTGACCAGTTCTCCCCATTAGGTAGCCTGCATCCTTGGTTATTCGCCTTTCAGGCATGCTGACCAAGCTTACGTGACCGATTATGCCGTCAATTAAGATTCTACTAATCCACTTAGAGTCTCTAAAATAAGGGGGAACCATCTATCCAGAGCAAAACTATACAAAAGAGCAAGCCACTAGTGTCATCGCTGACCAACTCAGCAATCAAGCAATCCTGAATTGCAACACCTCGTCTATGTACAAGCCGCGCGAACGAAACAAACAGTCATATGCCCGACAAGAGCGCTTCGTGTAAACGTATGACGCAATGTTGAAACAAGAAATTATAGTACCCTCGACAAGGGTACTTCATGTGAGTATATAACGCACCGGTAAAACAAGCAACTATAGTATTCTTGACAAGAGGACCAGACGTGTGTAGCAATATTCATTGCTTAGCCGAAATATGATACCTTGGAAAGTTGAACAAATTCAGATGGTATAAGTATATTCCTTTCCAATCTATTGAAAGCCATTGTGCGCGAGCTTCAATCTTGGTATTTGATCCATAAATACAGCCCGGAGGCACAAAGTATAGAGGCAGGTGCTATTCTTTGCTATGATAAAGGGTTATCCTACAATTGAGTAAAATTGTATCTAAAGTAAAATGATATGAATGTTAATAAACATTTAATGCAATATTATGCCCAAGTCTGTAGCTCCTCAAAATAATCAACCCGGTGCAGCGACTTATCCAAGTTATTCACCAAGGCATATCTGACAGAATCCACCATATTGGCAATCCCACAGGTGACAACGGCCAAAGAACCGTTAGCTTGTTCAATTTCCTCCTTCACCAACGCGTCAATATCAGGCCTCCCTTCTTTGAAGCAAACGTGTGGCAATTGTCTCCTAGCTCTTTCCGCCCGTGATAACACTGGTTCTGGGTACGGATAAATATCTTCTTTTTTCTCTGTATCTCTCTCGACTGAGTAAGTAGTGCCAGCATCAGACTCAGAACCGAGGTAGTAAGAGTCAATAGATTCCGCACTGGAATCTGAGACAATTGACCCCCGGAGGGTAGAGGTAAGCGTATTTGAGCTTGAAAAGTCTTCGATATACTCAGGTGAATCTATTGGCCTTGTCACATATATCACCGTTTCGACCTTTGTCCTCCTCAATTTCGACATCTCTTCTTGCATCCACGTGATTGACAGATAGTCCCTAATGATCCAGATCAACTTCACCGAATGGTGGGCCCCGCTTTTGCTTGACATCATTGCGTGGTCATACAACCCAGGGATGCCGTTTCCGGAAGCTAACAATAATGATTGGGAATAGGTTTGAGTTGGGGAGGAAAATCCGTAAGGACCTTCAATGGCGACCTTAATGTTGGCGACACGCCCTGGCATGGACGAAATGTGCTTGAAAACACCATGGGTCACGCCGCCCTTGATCAGGATGGTAAAACTGATTAGCTTGTCGTTCTCGGTGATCATCGTAAATGGGTGCGATTGCCAGAAACAAGAGGGCATAATGAAGGAAACAAAGGCATATTGGCCCGGCTTGCCGCCCCAATTGGCTGGTTTTGGGACCGTCACCTTCAATGTATCCCCTGAGATAATTGCAACCGTAGCGGTCTGGATACCAAATCTGGAAATACGATACAATCGTATCACTCTGTCAAGCACCCAAAGACCCATCACCGTCCAGGTGAATCCCCCGTAACCAAGCGAATCGATATGGCAATGCACACTAACCAAAACAATGATAGCGAAAAAGATATGCACGGCCAAAAACAGTTCGTATGATCTCCTCCTCAAGATAAGCATACTCTGGATAAGGATAAAACCGGCAAATACCGTACCAAAAAGACCCCAAAGAATGTACGCCTGGGACATCCGGTACCTATACGTGGTGCTCGAGATACCAAATGAAGCGATTACCATCCCCACACTGTGCGTAAGAGACAAGGTAAAAAAGATTCTCGACATATGTCTGTGATAGGTGTTGAATCTGGAGTAATTCCATCGAGTCACATAAACCAATATATTGTTTCTCCCAGCGAACAAAATCATGAATGGGTAAACGAAAAGAGCCAAAACCCCGGATCTGTCTACGACCTGTCTCCCGATTTCACCCATTTTCATGTTCCACATCGGGTTCCCCCTAACGTGGCGAAAACGAAAACTACACGCAAAAATCATGTAAAGCCAGAGAAAGGTGATGACAATGGTTTCCAGACGTGTGGGGATATATCCAAAAAGATATCCTCCGAGCTTCATAGGCACGGTTCTGTCTTTTTTAAAGGTGGCAGACAAGGAAAATAAGGCTCTTAACTTCTGGACTCTAGGGCCATTGGTCTTCTTGATAAGCCCCGGAAAAATGATTAAAGCCCAATTGCTCATTCCTGAAACAATCATATAGGCAGTAAATAATGCAATGAAGCCAGCACCCAAGTTGAGGGTAAGCGTGAAGTTTGAAAATCTGTTGTAGTAGGACTGGTAGTATATGCGTACCGGTTCTGCCCGAACTCTAATAGGGGTGGAGCAAGTAAGCGTAGGATCCATATCCGGTGCTGGGGTAATTGCGTAATTCAATGCATTGTCGTAAACAGCGTCGAAGAATTGGCCATCTACCGTGATGTTTGGGTGGGACCGCGAGCAAGCTTTGCTAAGGTGTTTCACCATGGCGTCGTCGTAGTAGTTCATTTGGTGCAAACAAATCAAGAGGGAGCCCATCTCAAGAAGACTGGTGCAGTAACAGTGTCCTGTCATCAGGCCCGTGCTCATATCAGTCATACTGGGGTCACTGGGACAGAAGGTGGTATTTGTTTCGATAACACCCACACACGCCATGACGGCGTAGTCATGGTGGGTGTACGCGTGATATTTCGAATGAGTGGCCTCAGCATTTACTGAAGCAACAGCTAATAATGCAAGTAATACCCAGAAACAGGGAATGAGTGTGAATCGCGTCATGTGTGATGGTGGATTGTTGAGAGTGTAAGAATCATGCAACCTAGAGAAGAATCCTCTATTTATATACAATTCACCGCCACTTGTCACTCCTTCTAGAAGGCTGAATTCGGTCAATTGAAATCGCCCGATATAGTCCAGATGGAGATATATCTTTTTTTTTATTAATTCGGGCCTAATTTAAACGTCCTGTCTACCCAATCTAGAAGCTGTGTTTGTTCTTGTAAGAGCCGCGCAGACGTGCATAAATACTGCAGACTAAAACCTTACCGAATTAAGATTACAACCGCCATGGCTTATTGTTAAGCCATGGATGCAAAATTTAAGCGGGAGACTACCGTCCTCCTTTCCTAGCAGTGGCCAGGGTCAATATATAGGAGCGTTTTAAATTTCGCCAGACCCGCATATTATCCAGTTGGAAAGCCCTTGTTGCGTACTCTCCTGTGTCCATCCCGCCTCATAGAAGGAACAACTAGCCGATCGTGTGTCGCATATAAGAGTACACCCGTCACACAATAGGTTCGCACCGAATTCCATCCCCACGCATCACGCCTAGGTACCGGCCACTCGCCTGGAATAATCGCTACCGTATAATCAGATACTATCTTACACTAGCTCCCGTTAACCACTCAGGGTACATGGAGCTGGATGTATTTTATTCTGTTTTGAGGCATGATAGGAGTTGCTCTCATTGCCAAAAAGGGCCATTCCTTCTTCTCCCCTGCCAAATACATGGGATATGCTTGTTTAAGCGATGTTATGTGCACGGAAACTACCCACGCGCTCCAAAGTAACATACCGAAAAGACAACTCTCGTCTACAATGGCTCTACCGCACTGAGTGAGAAAGGTACAAATTTACTGTTTTAAAGCACCCTGTATTGGGTTACGGAAGCAGCCTTACGGCTATTTTTTGGATTTTTCTCACACCTGGGGAGCAACGTGTATCCGTGGAAACGCAGCGCGGATAATAACCCCAGGACCGTCTTCCGTAGACGCTTCCATAGCCAGGGTTATTTAAGTTCCATTTTCTGTGTGATTCTCCATGTCACGGTTGCATATGTCTTACCAAATAACCCCTGCTTTGTTAAATTCGCTCATACATGTCTATTGTAGGTCCACTTGACGGTGGTACAATCGGCGTCATAACTGGAGGGTTAGGCAATATAATGGTCTCTTGTGGGAATCTGTTTGTACGCCGGCAATAATGGAAAGTTACAACTCGCTGTCCTGGAAAATCTGCATGGAGAAACCTGTATGCGGTCCATATCCTGGAGTTTTTCCTATCTCCAAAATAATCCGTGACCTGTACTGTCTTTTTAGTCTCTCAGTCGAGAGGAGAACCCCCTGGGAATGTTCACCCAGGCTGTCAACTTTACATGTGTGACAACGTGTTGAACCTTAGTTCCGTCTAAATTAGCTAGCGTAGCAAGCTTATTCAGCCTTATGTAAGGAATGTTAGACTCAAGTGCAAACAGGACCAGAGGTCTAAGGTTGCGCGTATCGGATGCACCCCATAAGCAATGTAATGCATTTCTATTTATCGCTTTTAGAGATGCTCACTGAATATATCTATGGATCTAAAACTGATGTTACGTACAACAAGCTACCTGTAGGCGTTTTTTTCTTGGGCATATAAATGAGGAAAGCGGTCAATAGAAACGTAATCCCGCATAAGTAGGCAATGGCACGATTTTCCATGTATTGTTCTTGGTGTTATTGATGGAGGCCGTCTAAGTGACTATAATAAGAGAACGGCGCGCCCTCCGTCCAGGGCTCTTTTAACCTCTATGTTTACATTTGACGTAATTCGGTATTTTAAAAACTGCTTTTATCTATCTGACGAATTAAACCACGCATACACGAAGTGGAGAGACCTTGCCAAACAATGGACGAGGGTAAACCTGCATGCACGTAAACAGAATATCCAACTGTAAGGTAGCCCGTTTAACAATAGTGAATTCTAAAAATCAAATTCCTCGTCATCTAAAGCTTTGGCGACGCGTCCAAATTCCTGGATTTGTATCTTTGCGAGTGCTTACATTGTTAGGACCAAGGAGGTGTCACGTAAATGTTAAACGACCGTGGTCAAGGCCGATCTCGGCAAAAAGCAAGCTTCCGGCATATAAACATTACATCATATATAAATTACATTTGAATTTGCCCAAGTTGGGGTTTTTCAAATCCCCGGCAAATGCCCTATTTCCCACGAATTTCATGTGATATTTGAAGGTTCACATTCCATACTCTGTGCTTGCGTATTCAGTGAAAAATTCTCTTCTGTTTGATTAGAGAGAGTTTTATTGCAGATAGATGCCACAAGGCTATTGCTTGTGTTTGGATTGATATATAGATTACTAATTTTATTTGTAAATCGTATATGTAGAAATTTGAATTCTGGATATACATTTTAACCCTTAAATCGTATATATACGGTCAGGTGTATTTTCACAATTTTAAATGTCATATTATCATTTATGTTACCTTGTAGTCTACGTCACAGTATTATAAATGCAATTAGTAATATTTTCACATTGTTTAAAAATTGATGTTTAGTTAGATTGCAAGCCAAATCTCATGTCCATTGTGAACTGTTATATATAGATAAGCCATTTATACCCGAGACGGGGGGAATATCGGGTCATACTTCGTTGGTGAAGAGTCTAGCAGGCCTTTAAAGGGTATAATATCAGTTCCATCAGTAACGGTTATATGTCACCACCACCGGCTACTCGTAAATCACGTCGGCATGTCAGCCCTCAAAACTAATGGGTCTAAATAAATATAAACTGTGTACTACCCTTCTCATCGTTCTGAAGTAGGGTCTTCTATTCAAGGTCTCTGAAACCGGCGTAACCTTCCAACTACCATTTCTTTTGACTTTATGACATGCCTACAAGGATGGGGGGCAAACTGGCAATTTTTTAAACTTTCTTTTCAACTTGAGAGCAACTTAGATGTCGCAGGTTATAATTCCACTCTCATACATATAACGAAACGCATATCAATGAACTACTGCACCCCTGCGATTACAAACTTTGGGTATTTCATTAAGAAAAAAGCGCTAAAACGTGCATGCATAGTTTCGAAAACCTTGGACCCTGTGGTACTAGAGTGATCCCTTACCAGGGCGCATGATGCACCGATTGCTGAAGATTGCTGTATAGATATCTCGTAATCCCCCTGTAGCCTAAAATTTCGCTCTATATCTACCGAACCTTAGCTTATTGCTTGTATGCTTTTTTAGGTCACGCTTAGGAACTTTATAACTCGACTAGCACAGCAATAGAGGACGGCTTATCCATAACTACGAGCTGGGTTTATCAGCAAACATAATGCTCTTTTATAATCTAGGCCCTCGACTTCCTCGTCTAAGCAGGAACGGGTGCCATTTATTTCCAGCGGTGATACGGCAGTAACTTCAGCGTTGGTTATCGACAGAGTAACACCGCCTTGTCTACCTGCCGAATCAAGTACCTTTTTGGCGCAGCTTACTGTCACATTTACTCTGCGTTTCGTGGCGTATGCTTTCTACTGCATCTTGGTTATCTGTGTGATCGCCGCGTTGAATTCATACTCTCTGCTTGGGCTGCGTGACTACTTGGATGTCGAGGAAGATACCTTGGAGTCTAAGGCAATGTATATGTGGTATAGTTAGTAATAATGGATACGGTTACCTGGCTAAAAGACAATACCTTTCCTTCATAAGATATAAACAAGAAGAGGAGGAATCGATATCCTTATATAATGAAGGAAGATATGATACCGAAATTTCCGATATAAGATGTATAACAATAGCCAGACCAGGGGTAAGATATCGGTCGACGATGTCTATCTAATTAAATGACATCTTTAATACGAGTAGGGCTTGAGGCATAAGACTCAAAAGGACAAGTTAACCGTGCAACAAATATCACCGAAAGTCACGAAGAATAATAGAGAACCGTTATTGAGAGCGGTTTAATCATAGCACTAAGCCTCTTCTAGTATCCATTCAACTTGCTACCATATATAAGAATTTCCCTCGTATTCAGCTAGTGCAATGGACATTTGGCATATATTAGTTTACTCAATACCTACAGCCCATAAAGCTCCCAGCCCTCGGGTTTTTCCATCTGATGCAATTTGAAGTGTCGCGGAACGCACGAGAACATGCGCCACGTGAAGTCCACGTTGGAGGCACAACCGCAGTTATGGGCAACTCTCATCGCTTTTTCAATCGGGCACGCGGTCATGGGCTCGGAATAGACCCCTAGATACTGGAAGAACTCAATCGACTGGCGAGGTAAAAACAACGCCGTGGCAATGGTGGCCACCATCCCATCCAACCAATGGTTGTCCAACTCAAAAAAACCCGGCTGTTTATCTAAATACTCAAAATACTTGACGTATGCCTCTGACTTCCAGAACGTGGAGGACGCAATTTCAAAATTCCTCTCGTAGAGGCAGCCGTTGTAGCTAGCACCCCCGTCATCAGATATGAAATCCATCAGATTATCTTTCACAATATACTGCGGATGTTCCTTCATAAAGGCACGCGTAGCTTTCCAGAGAGACTCCACCGCCGGTGTTATGTTCGGATAAGCGATGGCAAAGCCGTACTCACTGGATTTATCCTTCATGTAGCGGAACACGTCGTAGTCGACGTCGCAATGGATTTCAGCCCCCGGCTTAAGCTTCCAAATGTAGTCGTATTCCTCCAAAACCGTTTGTCTGGCCAAAAACCCTGCTTGGAAGCGGTTTTTGTACATTTCTTGGATATCATGCGCGAGTGTTGTCTCTTCTACATGCGCGGCAAGTTGCTTTTCAAAGTCGGGCTTATTAATCCCCGGCGAGACCGTCCATTGATCAGCGGGAATGCGGCTGTATTTAATAGCACCGGAGGTATACGCAGTGATAGTCTCTTTGAACTCCAGCGAAAACTCTTCTGTGCCGAGAAACACCCAGTCGTAGTGGAATCGGCGGTTAAACCGGTCCTCCATGTGTCTGATGGTTTGAAGAATCCGGGCCAAATCTTCATTCTTGGCAATTAACACAAAGGCAGCCTTCAACCCGGCAGACTCAGGACTGTGTTGCATGGCCACAGGCTGTTTTTTGATGTTGACCTGGTTGCCGACTTTGGTATCCACATCGCTCATTTTCTGGTTGATATAGCCCTTCTTGTCGCTGGAAGTTGGACTGGCGCTTGAAATGGAAAGTATTGAACCCGTGGTTCTGCCAGAAAGGAAGAATCCCGCTATGGAAAGGAACACAAGAATTATTAGCACTCGTTGGAGACGCGCTGAAGGAGAAATCATAGTGGATGAGAAGTGTACTTGCCCAGCGAAATGAGGTGAGGATGCGTATTAACTATACAAGTCGCAATTAGACTTCTTCTGTACCCTATTCTTGGAAAGTCCCCAGTGATATAATCGACCCTAGACTGCCTGTTGTGTAATCTGTCTGGTGATTAACCCCACTTGCATATACTCATATGCGTCGATTGTTCGAAGTGCCAACGTGGACAGTACGGCGCGTCTCAAGTCACGTGCGTAACGTCACATGCCGATTTTTACTGGACCGGCTATCAGTGGAACCGGGAGCCTCAGCGGTTGTGACTGAAACCGAGATCAACTCTTGGCATCATGGTTTGCAGCCTATGGTTCTTATTATATGAACAAAGCTTAAATGCTGGAATTTGGGGTTCACCTCCTCGCTTGCGTAATTTCCACTATCTGCCTCTGCCCTTGCGCCGATGGATATACCGCTCGTGAGTTCAATGTTGCTGAGCTTGCCTCCGGGGATGTAAAGCCAATCACATTGTAACACTTTTAAACCAGGTTTACAACGCCGAAGGCTTTTGGCATCATGCAGATAATCGTAATCAGTTTCTTTGTACAATGTCTTTTTCCGCTACGAAGGAAGAAATAGGCACAAATTTAATGATTTAAATTAAATAGCTCAACTATAGTGTCAGCGGAATGGTAATCTGCACCATCTCAAACTCGTTATTGATGAACTTCGCGAAAAAAAAAAAAATAAGTAGCTTTCAATTAATTTAAATACTGTAAACACTCTAAACACATCAGACTTGGAGCATCTTCATGACAGGAATGTGATATGGATTGGATTGACGGGTGGAGACCCGGTAGATGTACGTACAAACGCTTTAAAATAAGCCGAGAATAATGCAACTAATACATCTCGATGAAACGTCTCTAAATATCTGAAGGCTTCTCTCAGAACTTTTCTACCAAAGCCTATTACTCTCCTGCTCTCTTTTCTCTTCAAAATAGTCTTTCACTAGGTTCATAGTACCACGATCCGTAGCTTCCAAATTAATGGAAATATTCTTTAAAACACCGCTGTAAATCATGTCTTGATTCAACTGGCTCTCTCAACAACAAACGTAGCAACCATCTAATTTCTACCGTTGAATCAACCCTCCGTTAATGTTTCGATGCCAATGGCTGTTGCTACTACACAGTTATTTCAGGTGTCATTTCCTACGGCGTCAATTTAACAGCCAACCAGCAGGAAGCATCTTGAGTACTACAGTTATATTTCCAGCGTTAATAGCATGGTTTTAGTGATTATAATGGCACATACTACGGTTCTTCATATTTTCCTTGAGGTGAAGTGCCGCTAGGTCTGATACAGTCCCTATACTAACATTGACATTGGATTGGAAATGACTAGATACATTACCCGTGCTGCTTCACAAAGCCAGATGTATATGTCTATCAAATAATCGGTCCCACTATCGCGTCACTCCTGCGTAGGGCCGCCTTGTACTGCTTACTGGCACAATTGATCACGGGTTATGGAGAATAATTCTCTATGGTAAAACAAATACAACACCCAAATTTCTTTCTGATATACAATGTACCCTTCCTTATTCTACTGAAAGGAGTACTACTATCATGGCCATGTAAAATCTCACTTCCGTAAAGACTGCCGCCTACATCATGAATGAAGAGCTGGTGTTGCTAGTTTAAATGTTGGGGGTTAATAAATATTTGAGGAAGTTTCCTGTTTTTCATATGGAAATATACTCCTGACCACTTGAATTTGAAATATTTTCACCTCGAGTCCACATCGAGGTTGACACTTTCCCAATGTATGTCTCAATGGAAATAACCGGTGTTTATACTTGATATACAGTGGTGAGGTTGGCCGAGGGGTGGTCTATATTCTTGATGATAATCAAGCCGTGCGCTTTTTTTCCCGAACACGTCGATCATGACAACGTCTTCTGTTATCTTGTCAGTTCCATTTGCCAACCCTGTAATTGTATTGGGATGAAGTAAGCGAGAGTGAAATGATGGAGAAAGTGGTCCATAATGATAGGGAATCAGATGAAACGTATCTAAATGGTGTCTTGTCTTCAACGGAGGCACCGGATAATACTTAGAGCACTGGATGTGAGTGCGAGTCGCTCTAACAAAGCTGCAAAACTTATCCATGAACATCACAAAGTTGAGTTTAAGTGCCCAGAAAGACAGACATAGGTACAGTGTTGCTTCCTATCCCTCAAGGCTGAGCCACTCTCATATGTACATTTGTCTCGCTACTTTAGTACAGCGTTTTTCAGTTATAGACGCCTGCGACTTGTTATCCGCCTCACGTAAAACACTCTCAAATCTTTGAAATAGCTTACCACGCCCTAACATCAAAACGTGTACGAAACTGAAGCTTACCATAGCCTTCCCAAACTGCGGTATGTCATAGGTAACACCAGTACCTAGTATCTGTAAGAAAGTCGAATGCCTTTCGTGGGTAAGATATATACCAGAGGGCCAGGGTGTCCTATAGAGCGATGACTATATAAACATGGCAGTTCAGGGTGGAAGAAGGGCAAAGCAGTCGGCCCTAACTCTACGAACGACCCACGAATTGTTCCTAGCCACTTGGATTGTGCCCCGAACAAAGGGTGTCCATATTTTTCCTAGGATGCGTTTACAAATCGACGCCTTGGTCATGGATAACATTTCAGTAACAGCTTTCTATATTTTCTTTGACCGGCTTGCTAAGACACTGTCAATAATTACTTTCGCTCCGTTTTTGAGTTTAAGCCATCAGAGACGGATGCACCCCAGTAACACTTATCTTCTTATTATATGTCATTGCAATATGCTATATTGTTATGCATATGCACGTAAGCCGCATCGAAATATCCAATCAAAGAATTCATTCGCAGACTAAGCCCGCCTCGCATCGCCATCACAGGCAAAGCTTAATTACTTATTGTTCACCAATACAATACACAATTGATGGCTGATCGTCGTCCAGAAGGGGCGGTCATCTTTCCTCTTTAGTCTATGTACAGGACTCAAGAACCTTGATTTGACATATTACAACTTGTGACTTTAGTAGCAGTAATTCCTTGTTGATAGAGCATTGGGGGAAAACAGAATCTACTCCAATTAACTGTCTACAATTGTAAGGCTTTAACGAACTTTTTTCTCACCTCGTGACGTATTGAATCGCAATATGGTTAATCCCTATATGTAATTAAGGTTTCGTCGTATTGTGCGTACAGACGCGTTTTGGGCATTTCCCAAGTATTAGCAGACAGCTGTCCTTATATTCGGCAAGCTCGATACCAGGGTTCTGCATAAGCGACAGGGGTAATTACTTTATATTGAAAGATATGTATCGGCCTTCAGGCACCATAAACCGACATATACTATTTTTTGTAACAAAGAGGATATTAACCGATACATGTTGGTAATATTTTGCGACCAATTTAGCAAGTGGTGGCTAATTTTATGACCAATTTTATCCAACGAGCAACACTTTCATGTGATTTCTATTTGCTCGCCCTGTCAGGGCCTAACGCATTGTCTGTCCCTGTTAGTGCATGCATAATTTCGAAGTATGAAACAGTGTACACATATAATACGGGGGATTCCCCGACTGAATTATATTTGTCTTCTTCTATTTAACCAGATATTACATTAACAAAAATTAACGCCATGGAAGCCTTCCCTACAAGAACTATTCAAGGCATTACCGTCGACGGGTCGTTTGCCGCGTCGATTGCCGCGCAGCTTTTTTCCGCCGAGGATAGGCTTGCCACTGCCACCGCTTCCAAAGCCATTGCCTCGCTCTCCATCGTCGCGTCAGAAGCGTCTTTGAAGTTCGCCGTCATAACAGAGGCCATGGTGGCTGCTACGGCCACGGACCCTTCTGCAGTGGCCTCGGCCTCAGCAGCGATTGAAGTGCTTATCAATAACCCTGTCTTTTCATACTACCATTACATTCCCAGCCTTCCTGGTAACTTGGTTATGCTTATCGTTATGGGGTTGGTGCTCGGCATTCAAACTTTTTATGCCGTGAAATACCTCCAGTACTGGTACGGGTCCTGTTTCTGTATCGGTATTGGATTGGAATTCGCTGGCTTCATTTCTAGAGTCATCTCACACTTCCAGCCCGTCACGAATCGAAACGCTTACTTCTGCCAGATTATTTGCTTGACTATTGCTCCGTGCTTTATCATGGCGGCGCTATACTGTATTTTGGCTAAACTTGTTATTGTCTACGGTGAACGGTA